TGGTAATTGACAACGAGAGAAACACAGGAAGATATTGATTATGTTAATAATGACCTAATTTGCATAATTAATGAGAAAATTTTATAATTATGTAATGATAACTGCCTGGAATTTCATACTTGTGGTATTTTGAAAGTTAAATTGAGGTGAACATCATTAAACATAATTTATTCAAATCAGGACCTCATTTGCATAATTTATTTAGGAAATGCTAGAATGCATTGTTTGTTAATATAAGACTGTTTTTTTGGTTGAGATTATGATAAAATGATATAATTCATGAAAATTAGGTTCCTATTTCTTAAATCCGGGGGGAATAATCTAATCTATAATTTGTCAGTCATAAAGATTAACATCATTTGGCGAAGGTATGAGATCGGGGAACTCTAGTTTCAGACTGTTTCTGTTCAATAAAATTTAATGCATTCTGTTGGTAGCAGATACAATATAGATGGGAGGATTTTTTCAGTGCATTAAGTGAATGAAGTGCGCATGATACGTTTTATAAAGTTTGATAAAATCTTCTGTCTTTAGGAATGCTTTGAAATTCAGACTTTTTTGTTTGTTCCGGGAATCTGGTCCAGGATTTTTCTTAATTCTGGAGAGCTTGTCTTTTTTTTCTACTCAGGGAAACCCCTCAGCCTTTTTTGGCATTCTCGGAAGCTGGTCCATGAGTTTTTTCCGTCTGGGAACCTGTTTTTGTGTTTTTCTCTGTTAAGCCAGACTTTCATTTTCAAATTTTCTGGGAAGCTTGAGCTTTTTTTTTTACTCTGGGAAGTTGGTTTAGGAGAGCTGTTACAGGTTTTATTCCTGGAAGTTGGTGTACTGGATGCTAAGGACACCTTTTATGCACTTATTGACTAAAAGCAAATTAGCTTCTGAGCTTTTTTTGTCCACTCCTTTATTTAGCATCCTAGTATGGGGCTAACCTTGAGTTATAATAGCTTGCCGAAAATGCTTTTAGCCTCTAGTAACACTTATAGCAATATGTGCCATTTATGAATGGGTTACTTCCTTAGCATTGAAGACCCTGCATCTTCAATGAAATGCCAATTGGTCAGCTTATTGTTTTTTGGATGTTCAGTTCTAATTTTGGAATTTTTCCACAGATACCGGTGGCAGTGATGGAGGTTCTGATAGAGCTGCTTCCAAACCTGTCATCCTACAGTGCAACGGGGGTGAGTGACTTTTGTTTGTTTTGCAATTGATCATCATACAGTATTAGTAAGGGCCTTGTAAAAAAATGTTGTGTTTCCTGTTTCAGTCCTGAAAAAATTAGGGTCAGTACAATGTAGGTAGGGATTCTTTTTTTTTCTTTTTTTTTAGATTTCAGTGATATCTATATAGGGGTCCAACTTATTCAATACAGTTTAACACTTTAAGTAAAACTTGCATGAGGACACTTTTATTTTCAATTTCAATGTTGGAAAACCAATTGTACAATTCTTTATCACTCAGGTCTCAGATCATGGAGCTAGAAAAGGTTGATCAGCTCGAAAAATTATTTATGTCCCTTAGAGGGGTCCACCCCCAAAAATGTCTGGTGTCGGCAGGTTTTTCTAGGGTCGGTCGGGAAACAGGAAACAACATTTTTTCATACTTAGGCCACACCGCCTTAATTTTATGGATGACATCCGCACGCGCATTGATTTTCGCCTGTCGCTCTGGCCTGGCTCTAGGCCTGGGTAGTCCATGCTAGTCAGTGACAAAACGGAGCCGAGCACCCAAGCTATATCGAATTCGAAGCTTCACGACTCGAGAACTCAGTACATAAGTATAGTACCGATTCATAAATTCCACAAAAAGCCAGCATGTGCTGGCTTGTCCCATACGTCACTGTACTGTCGGGAATTCACAATACCAGATTTGTACTCCTGTGGTTCAGTAGCATTTTTATTTTTGGCCGGAATTTTTTTTTATTCGCCCGCGCGCACTAGTTTGGGGGTCTTCAGAGGATGTCATCCATAAAATTAAATCGGTGTGGCCCTGGCCTTTATTTTTGTATCATACATATCATAACGCCTGTGATCCACTCACACCGGATTGATGGACCCCAACACTTTCTTTATACTTTAATTATTAATAAGCACTGTTTATGCTTGAGGTGGCATGTGGCTGCACCAGTATAAAAAAAAAAATTATGGACCTTGAGATTTACATCCCAGCAGGGCAGACAACACACCTACCAAGTGTTGAAATATGGGTGACTGTGATAGTGCCTTACCCAAGGACATTGTATTCGTATGCAAAGCCTTTAGAGCCTCAACACCTGTTATTAATTACCACAAGGCCAGTGCATTACAATGTAAATTGTCACTATAATGTTCAGTATACCCATCTTCGTGCTTAAAACTTTATGGTTTTACCCATTTTGGACCATTCAAAAGGAAGCTTGTTTCATAATGATGATGTATACATTCTAGGAAAGGAGCTTTTAGCCTGGAACTTCCTCATAAATGATTAATCATGATTATTCTTCTCATGCACTCCCTAAGCCTTATTATGGGTTCACCACACCACGAAGTGGTGGTGAACCCATATTGCTTTTTCTGATGTTTCTTCTCCTCCTCCTCCTCCTGCCACTTCTTTAAATTGATTCAACTCCTTCATTTTTGGGCGAAATTACCTGTAATTTCGTAGAGGTAGAGTGGGTAAATACCCTTAGGCGTTTTTTAAATTTTTTTGATACAAGCTTTTACAATCGTTTTATTTGCTTTTTAGTGGTCCCCATAGGAAAGTACTGTGGGGGCGTACGCGCGTGACCTAATAAGAAAGGAATTCGGGGGAAGGCCCAAATATGGGCATACAAGCAGGTGTGGTCATGTTTGCAGATGTGGCTGTTGATTGGCTGTTGGCTAATTAATTTCTTTACTACCATTTTCACGTACCAGCGCAGCTGGTCCACGCGGTCTCGGCCGTGGGCCATGATACTCTGATACTGGATACCGATTCGTGTGATTCCTATAAACATTTCACCTAACTACGAACTAGTTGGAAGAATTTCACCTAACTACGAACTAGTTGGAAGAATTATAGCTGCATGGATGCCTGTATATGATTTTAACAAACACTGAAAATCTGACGCAAAAACTGGCAGATATTTTGCTCTTCTCTGTTGGAACAACGCAAGCGGGAGGTCAATGACCTGCGCCCCGCGAGTACTGTAAACAACGGTACGTAATGTGTATCGTCGGCGCACGCGCGCGCGCCACGGTATCAACAATTTTCCACAATCTTCACCGACTAGTATTATATATTCTGTTATCGATTTCTGAAGAATCACCAAAATTGTAGAGTGTATCTCCTAGAAAGTCCCTTACTAGTACTGATCGTTACCGCCATGTTGTTCACTTTATATGACATACAATGCAGAGAGTAATGGAAACGTGTCCAGATAGCTCGGTTGGTAACGCAAGTCCAGACATTACGAGTTCGAACCCCGGTACACTGGATATTTTTAATTATCCTTTTTACAATTTTTAACAATTTTAACATTTTTAACAATTTCAACAATTTTAACCATTTTAACCATTTTACATTTTAACAATTTCAACATTTAATTTTAACATTTTCGTTTTAATATCCATTGCTTTGCTTTTAACATTCCAAAACTGATTGTTCTTACTCAAGAATTTCAATAACTTCGAATGTTAGTCTTTTGTATTTTTTCAACATACAAACCAAAATCACTTTGATGTTGTCACAAAAGTAACATCTGTGCGCGCATCGGTTTTCGTTCATTTAAAAAGTACAAGTACAAAACATCTGGAAACTAAGCTAACATACTCAGTAAATTGATTGCTGTAATTCCCGATTTTTTTTCACTGTACCGCAGCGCAAGCGGGGGGTCAATGTTCACGGTTTTCACTGTCACCTCTTTATTGTGAACTTATCATTACAGTTAGGAAATAATTCCTGGACTTTCTTTTTCCTGCAACTGTCACCACCGTGAATATATACTTCCGTGAACATGTCCATTTTTCTCAGGCCGTGAAAATTTTGCTTCCGTTAGTAGTAGTTACAATCTCGTCAAAAGTGTAAAGTAAAGCTGTCGAGATTTAAAGTGCGTGTCGTTGTATCTTTGTAAAAAAAAAGGGAGATAATTGCCAAGTGCCAGTTTTGTAAATACCTGTCGAGATTCAAACAGCTTGTCCTTGAATAATTGCAGTATGATTTATTTAGAATCTCTCATTTTTGTTTGGGGAAGGGTATGGAGTGAAATTCCTACATTTGCTCCGAAGCAAATGTTGGCCTTTCTAGTTTAAACGGATTCAGCTTCTTCATTTTAGGGCCTAAGGTCCTGAAATTTGGTATGGAGGTACAGTGGGCAAATACCCCTAGGCGTTTTTTAAATTTTTGTGATACAGGCTTTTAGAATGGTTTTATTTGAGTTTTTTGGCTGTGTTATAGCAAATGTATTACTGTGTTAGTGTGCCGTGTTTACCACGTCTGGGCATGAGTCATCACAATGGAATGCAGGGCATCAACCAATAGGCATGCAGCTTTCCTCTATACTTCTTGCTGATTGGCTGTTGGGATTTAACTTGATTAACACCTGCACAGAGCATTTCCACCTGCACAGAGCATTTCTTGCTGATTGGCTGTTGGGATTTAACTTGATTAACACCTGCACAGAGCATTTCCATACTGACAGTATGTCTTTATTCAAGTGTTTTGGTAGGTATTTCAAGCTTTTCTGCTCCAGCATTGGAATGCGGGGCATGAACGTTTTTTTTTTTTTGAAAATCAACAGTTTGCATTATGCAATTAAAAATCCTAACCAATAAAGTAGGGAATAGCTATCCAACTGTTGTTTTAGTTGTATGTTACTTCATATTATAGTTATATCAATGTAAATCATTGTTTTCCCTTGTGTTTCTCATTCTTTCCCTGCCATGTCGTAAAATGTGGAGAACCCATCGCTGTATTTGCTCCAAAGCAAATATTGGCCTTTCTAGTTTGAAGGTTGTTTTTCCATGTTATGTCATGTTGTCACATACACCCTCTCTTCATGCTGCGTGTCATTATAATATCAGATGTGGATATGGAGAAAGACGTGACATTAAAGATGTTATAATATCACACATGATGCAATCAAACGCAATCAAATCACTCAGGCATGTTATCTTCCAACATCATCTAAGGCCAGAGCAAGTGATTTTTATGGATGACATCAGCGTGCGCATTAATTTTCGCCTGATTTTGGAAAAAAAAAACAAGAAATTTTGTTGCCTTCTGACAGTGGTCACATGATGCCGAAAATGGGCAAAGATGTCTGTTGCCATGCCGGTAGGTGGATGGCAGATAACTATAAAGAGAGGAGACAAGAAAAGGCTCTGATTTAATGTTTTGTTTCTTACTTTCATGCAGTGATATGTGATGCTGGCTGTGTATATGTGATGTTCCCACTGAATCAAATTTTGTACAATGATTGAGTCAAAATTTTAAAATGTACAGTAGGAACCTTGTTTTTTGGGCCCGCCTTGCAATTGTTTTTTTTTCGCCCGCTCGCATTAGATTTGGAGTCTGCAGAGGATGTCATCCATAAAATGTACTTGCTGTGGCCTAAGATGGATCTCCATCATAAATTGACTCTGATGCAATTAATTTCATCATGATCGTAGATGAGCTTTCTAGATGATTATTATATAGTATTAAGTCAGCTTTTATAAGAGATCATCATTTTGGCACAGGGTGACAGATTTTCATAACAATTTTACTCTCAAAATGTGTGCCTAGGATTATGATTTTCATGCTATAAGGCCACACCAATTTAATTTCTTGGTTAACAGATTTTTCTAGAAAAATAATGGAGCGGGCGGGCGAAAAAAAATTAAAATAAAAACAGGCCTAGGCATCCTATTATGGCCCAAAATGGTATGATAGGAGCCATGAAGTCAATGACAATGACAATGATGTTTATTGCATATTCATGCCCTTCCGAGCTAAATGCAGTCTGGATGACATTACATATTGGATGATACTAGTTACTAGTACATAGGGAAGTGTATAAGAAGTTAACACACCAGGCTGGTTCAAAATTTAAACAATGGATTTTGAACTTTTAATGATACCATTGCATTGAAAGATAGAATAACTGTAACAACTAGGATGAAAAGGACTGTTTTCAACTGTTCAGGGCATTTTGCAGTTGATTCTGAATTTTTATTTTTATTTGCAAATCAGAAAAATAATGAAGCGGGCAAATCCGTTAACCAAGAAATTAAATTGGTGTGGCCTTAGTGAACATGGGGGAATTCAAGAAGCCTAAACACTCTCTGATTTGTTGTTGACTTCAGATTACTTGGCCATCTACGATGGGTCCGGGGTGGTCAGCCTCGGGACCAATCAGGAGTTCCTGTACGGTGACATTGAAGCGAACGTCACGCTGGACCTGCGCATCAGGAACATGCACGCTGATGACCTCCCGTCCACCGCGCCCGGCAGCGAGAACTTCAGGATCGAGGTGTGGGTGGCCGAGACGGCCGATCCACTGTCTGACTCCAACACCATGGTAGAGGTCACCAAGGTGGGACTTTTATGTTTACCGAAGGAAAACATATTGTTATACTCTTCTCCAAACACTAACCTCTGACCTGGCCAATGATGTGATTTGTTGATGTCTGTCACCATGGTGACTGGTGTTGGGTTACATAATGTTGCAATTTCATGGTCTGCTCTGGTCCTGTCACCATATACTAGACTTGTTTGTAGTTTATTTATGTCATTTATGGACAGTATTTTGAGCTTTTTAAACAATGGTGCAGTAGGGAAAGTGAATGAAACTTTTGATGCTATCCTGATGTATCGTTTCTGAAGCAAAAAGAGCGGTTTAAGTGATGAAGTGTACGTACTTGCCCATATAATTTTACAATAACTTAAGTAAGTTTGTGATGATTGTACGACTATCAACCACATACTGGGTGATTGGGACATTTTGTAAAATCAGAACAATGAAAAAATTAAAACGTTACAAAAATTTAAAGAGTGAGCGTAAACATATAATGCACATGAAGATGTAATCTTTACTGACACGCACCTTTCCATATTGATCAGTAATGCTGCATGCTAATTGGCAATTAGCCAGAGAATGTCACCTTGCATCTTCTCAACTACATATAAGACTTAGTGTGCATTTTGAAACAAGCTACAGTAGTCAAACTTCACTACCAAAAATGCCAATCTTGTTTTTCTTCAGAGAAGAATAATTTTCTTCCACTGAAAAAATTATTCTTCACCCAAGAAAAAAATCTTGTCCGTGAGACACGAATTTAAAGAAACTGCATTTTAGTATTATATTTTTCTTGTGGTAAGATTTCTTTTCTTGTGTATCTTGCACTAAAATACCCTTTAATAGGCCACAACAATTTAATTTCTTTGTTAACAGATTCGCCCGCTTCATTTTTTTCTGATTTGCAAATAAAAATAAAAATTCAGAATCAACTGCAAAATGCTCATATTTTGCCCTGAACAGTTGAAAAAGTGTCCTTTTCCTCCTAGTAGTTATCATCCTTCTTGAGACAAGCTATGTAGCTATCTGAAATATTATTTACCATATAATACAATAATTGTAAAAAAATCTATTTATCACTCACTGAGAAAAATGGACATGTTCACGGGGCTATATGTTCATGGTAGTGACAGGTGCAGGAAAAAGAAAGTCCGCAGGAATTATTTGTTAACTGTAATGTTCATGGTACAGAAGTGACAGTGAACACAGTGAACATAACAGTGAAAAAATAAAGAATTACAGTATTTTTCTTGAACGTAACTCCAAATCCATCCACCTGATACCTGCAATACTAGTGCCTCAAACCCTCAGAGAATTTGGTCCTTCAAAAGCCATTAGCTTCAAGGCAATATCTACAAGTAGGGATCTAACATGTAATTTGTGATACCACAAAACATTGTGGTTGTCTGGCAACACCCCTTTGTCATCAGATACTAAAAGCCACATCGTCATTAATATTTTAGTAGCTTATTCTGAAAGCAATGATTGCCTTTGTTGGCTTGGGAGACTCATTACTTTTGAAGTACTAGGTTCTTTTACAGTGTGATAACTCAGGCCACAAAAATTTAATTTGTTGGTTCTCGGATTCGCCTCTTCGTTTTTTTCTGATTTGCAAAAAAAAAAAAATATGATTCTGGTTCTGAATCAACTGAAAAATGCTCATGTTTTGCCCCCCAACAGTTGAGGAAAGTCCTTTTCTTCCTAGTTGTTACAGTTACGTTTTCCCATCTATCATGATTGCAGTGGTTTGATTAAAAGTTCAAAATTCAATGTTTAAATTTTAACCCAGCCTTTTGTGTTGACTTCATGGCTCATTTCGTAGCATTTAAGCCTATAATAGGATGCCTAGACCTGTTTTTATTTTATTTTTTCCGCCCTGTCGCTTCATATTTTTTCTGAAAAAATCCGAGAACCAACAAATTAAATTGGTGTGGCCTCAGGTGCATTGTACCACGGTCTTTGCATGGGCATCTGGTGAAACTGTCAAACTTTGGCCTCAAGTAACTTCAAAAGATGAGGAGAAGTTGTTGAAGGTCAACTTTCATTACTATCATCATCACTCATGTTTGGCCTTGCTGTAGAGTGTTGGCAAAGTTCTCGTCTGCTTCATTCATAAGTTTGACACTGGGTTTAGAGTCATTCTTTTCTTAGTCTCTAAGGCTAAGGTTAGATGGCAGTAATTTAAGGGAGCATAATAATTTGCCGATGAAGGTTAGACATCCAGGTAATAAGTTACGCCAAAAAGCAGTTATTCAAGCAACTGGATATAGTCTGGTGGCAGAGACCGATAAGCGTGCAATGCGGTCCATACAAAGTTTTTTTGTTGTTTCTATATCTCTGAGGTGTGCTCTTTCAGAATCTGAATGATGCCACTCTGTCATCCTTGGGCAATTCGCACAATATGCAAATTATGGTGGCCATTACTGAAACTCCAGTTTTCGTCAATATCTCAGTAACTACTCATGGTATCAGAATAATTTTGGTGTCTATCCCCATCTTTTGAGGGATAACGAATTAAATTAAGCCATTTCAGTAAAGTTAGAACCATTATTTTTTGCTAAATATGCAAATTTGGGCCGCGCAATATGCAAATTAGGGCGGCCATTACTGAAAATCTGTTTTTCGTCAATATCTCAGGAACTACTCATGGTATCAGAATAATTTTGGTGTCTATCCCCATGTTTTTGAGGGATAACGAATGGAATTAAGCCATTTCAGGAAAGATCAAACCTAGTTTTTTTGTGCTGAATATGCAAATTAAAGCCGCACAATAGGCAAATCAAGGTGGCCATTACTGAAAATCTGTTTTCCGTCAATATCTCAGTAACTACATATGATATTATAATATCTTTGGTGTCTTTTCCCATGTTTTTGGCATAACCATTGAGGATAGGCCATTTCAGTGGAGATCAAATAGATATTTTTGTGCTTAATTTGAAAATTTAGGCCGCCATTACTGAAAATCTGTTTTTCGTCAATATCTCAAAAAATCTCATGGTATCAACAATACTTTTGATACAATACACATACATTTGTACTATACACATGTTTTGAAGGCTAGATATTTAGAATAAACCATCCCAGTATTGATCACACCAAAATTTAATGCAAATTATGCAAAAACTAACCAGTATATAGCATGGGCGACTGTACCTCTGAACACTGATAGGAATGTTAATAAATGATACAATCTGTTCAAAAAAATATTAGACCCTTCATAAGCTCACCACCTGTGCCTTACCAGCGTCTGTGTACAGGCAGAATAAAGCGCTAACTTGACGTCCTGAATTTTATGTCAGCGTGGCCCGCGTAGAATCTAAGTTGAATTCTTCTTGAGTCCCGGACAGGCCAAAGAAAAATAGCCCGGTAGCCGCGGGGTGTCGCACGGCTGAAAGTGTCAAAAACAGCCCGGGAACTACCCGCCAGGGACTTTTTTTTACAATTGGGACAAAAGCTTAACAGATCTCCAAGAAGATGACCGGCGGCCGCTCAAAAGTGCACAGGCCTAATTAAGGTAGAGGATGGGACCCTACCACTGTCTTAGGGGGAGGACAAGCTTGTCAGGTGGGCAGAATACTTTTCAAAAAGTCTTAAACCGCTCAAGCCATACCTCAGTAGCATTAGTCTTTGATGAACACCTACACCCATTACCTGTTGAGATCGAGGACATCTCTGAAGCTGAAGTCAGTCACCAGGCATGAATGGCATCACTTCAGAGATGCTGAAAGCCGAGGGTGACTGTGTTGTGAGATGGATGCTTTTCTGATCGCCGTACATCGCAAACGCTTTAATAGAACCATAGCCGTCTTCCCTAGTACGCCTTCCCTGGATAAAGCTGGCATTAACAGCGATCACAGGGAAGTGCTGGAGGACTGGAAGAACGGATCAGTAGTTCAGCTGGAGTCACATGTGAAACGGGACCTGCTCGGCATGTTCTCGGTGTAGACGCCGGCCGGCGTCATGAAACCGAGCGTACGCCGGCTGTCAGGGTCACAATTGAATTTTCCTTTACGGCTCCCTGTCGGGGCGCTGAGGCGGCTTCTATGTAAAATTCACAAAATTTTGGTCCCCTTGACGACCGGTTTCTGTTGGGGACCCGTCCGGTGCCCAGTCAGTCTTCTGTCAGACCTGTGCGGGATGCAATAGGGTGCCGACTAGCTCTTGCATTCCGGGCCGGGTAGCTACAGGGTCCCTGGCGGGGTCAAGGGGCGATCCTGGCAGGTCCCAGGCTGGTACGCCTGTGGCTGGTATGGTGGGTTCGGCCCTGCTGGTTGATGCGCAGACCCGTGTATGGTCACTATGACTGACTGATGATGTAACTATGTCGAGAACAGCACATTACCCTCTATATTGTCTATAACTACCTTCTTCTGAACAATTCAAGCACAGAACAACACACGTGACTTCATAATCTTGGACAGGTGCCTGTGCATGACCCGGCGGCTAGGTTACGGTTTGGTCCGGTGAGGTTACGGGGTCGCTTCGGCGTACCTTGCCCGCCGGGGCCTGAAGTGACTTTAAGTTGAGTCAAATCTATTTGGCGACGTCGCGGGACCAAAAAAATAGGCCGGCAGCCGTCGGGAACCCCGCCCATTGCCTTCCAGGTCCCGTTCCGAATTCGGTAGTGCCAAAACACAGGCCAAAAACGAGCCGAGCGGGCCCCTTTCTTGAATTGTGACATACCATTAGGCTTAAAGTGTGTATTCCAAAGAAGGGAAACCTGAATGAATGTGATAACTTAAGGGGAGTGACAATTCTTTTTTATACAAGTGAAGGTGTATGCCAAATGCCTCCTGAACCGCATGAGAGATGCAGTAGGCAAGGTCTTCTGGGAGCTGCGAGCAACAAGCTAGCTTTCGCTCAAAGAGATCCTGTGCTGAGCAGATCTTCACCCTGCGGTGGAGGAAATGTGCTGAACTGCAAACCCCTTTTAATTTTAGCTATCAGATTCATTTATTTCTGCAAGGCGTTTGATAGCATCTAAAGTCCCTCTTTATCGTGTACAGTTATGGACTGCCAAGTAAACTTATGTATGCAGTTAAACAGATATACTGAAACTCGAAGTGTTGTGTACGGACGGTTGAAGGAATCTAGATACAGCTGGTGGTTTGAAGACGGATCCTCCAAGGTTGTGTCCTGTCACAGATCCTCTTTCCCGTGGCTATCGACTGGGTACTTGGGAAGCAACAGGAGAAAAGGGCCGGGGGTAAAGTGGGTTCCAGAGACAAAGTTTGCCGACCTTGACTTTGCAGACGACATAGCGGAAAACGCCAGAGATCTCCAACCCCTAGTGACCAACATAGTCCGTCTTCAGACAGCATTGGGCTTAGCATCAGGGCCATCAATTAACATGCTGATAGGGACACACGCTCCTCTTAGAAGTGTGACCATTGACGAGAACCAAATTGAAAGTGGCGGAGAACTTCACCTACCTTGGGAGCTCCACCAACAACAAAGGACAGATGGACAATGAGCTAGACTGTAGACTTGGAAAGGCCTCAGCAGCCTTCAACCAGCTTGACTTTGAAACCTACTATGTGGAAATCAGCCAAGAAAAGAGAAAAGAGACTGGAATCACTGCATGCTCTGATAGTGAATGCGTGAGGAAGATCTTATAAATAAGCATCAGACGACAGGACTTCATACCCAACACAGATATATGAGCCAGAGCTAACCAACAGCCAGTGTCTACAATCATACGCAAGTGGCGTTTCATGCTACAAGACGTCTGCCATCTAGACTTAGGTAAACTTGTCTTTCAATATTGAACAGGTTTTGAGTCAGATAAACTATACCAAGGCATGTGCGTTTGCATGGAACATGGGTCGGAATTAGGACCCCTCCTTGCTGGCAGCCAGGTGGGTCAATAACAGACAAGGCCCAAATTTGCATATGTAGCAAAGAATAATGGTTCTATCTTTACTGAAATGGCTTAATTTAATTCGTTATCCCTCAAAAGATGGGGATAGACACCAAAATTATTCTGATACCATGAGTAGTTACTGAGATATTGACGAAAAACAGATTTTCAGTAATGGCCGCCCTAATTTGCATATTGCCACCCAAATTTGCATATTTAGCAAAAAATAATGGTTCTATCTTTACTGAAATGGCTTGATTTAATTCGTTATCCCTCAAAAGATGGGGATAGACACCAAAATTATTCTGATACCATGAGTAGTTACTGAGATATTGACGAAAAACAGATTTTCAGTAATGGCCGCCCTAATTTGCATATTGCCACCTAAATTTGCATATTTAGCAAAAAATAATGGTTCTATCTTTACTGAAATGGCTTGATTTAATTCGTTATCCCTCAAAAGATGGGGATAGACACCAAAATTATTCTGATACCATGAGTAGTTACTGAGATATTGACGAAAACTGGAGTTTCAGTAATGACCACCTTAATTTGCATATTGTGCGAATTGCCCAAGGATGACAGAGTGGCATCATTCAGATTCTGAAAGAGCACACCTCAGAGATATAGAAACAACAAAAAAACTTTGTATGGACCGCATTGCAAGGTTCTTCAAAAATCGGGGGTTTGGCAACCGGACTAATATGATTTTAAAAACGTCAGACGTTTCAGCTAGTATCCACTAGCTTTCGTCAGTGACTGAGAGACCAGAGGAAAAATGCAGATTTATAAGCACAAACTATTGCACAATAGGAGCTTTGTGACTAATTTGCATCATCTTGTATTGACTTGTCTAACTTTTGTTTCTTTTTGGACTTACAAAAATTGTCTTCACTTATTTGCATATTTTAGAACGTCTGACATTCTGATGTTGATTATTTTTCTACAGTCCCAAAATGTCCCAAAGTGTCTGAGTGTTTAGTTGTCCCAGCCTAAATTTTAGTGGTCAGTGGCCATTGGACTGGCGCACCTTTAATTTCGAGCCCTGTCTCTATTCTGTTGGGTTCCTTGTCCTTTGGCGTCGGGTGGCGTAGTGGTAGAGCATTCGACTATGAAGCGGGGAGACCCGGGTTCAATCCCGAGTTGTACCCCGGACATGTCTGGACATGCGTCCCGAAGTTGTGCCCTTGGGAAAGGCGCTTAATACGACTTTCCTCACTCCACCCAGGTGTGAATGGGTATCTAACTTCGGTTGGGGAAAGTTGTATTGAGGTCACCTTGTGGCACCGAATGGCAGCCACACAGACCCTTGCGACAGTTCCACAAAATAATTTGTGGAGCGAATATGTGTTATCATGTGTATTATTTGATTGTTGTGATTTGTATTGATTATTATGTGATACCCTGCATCAATTCATCCATTACACAAGGGTGCGACTGCACGGGTTTAACTGTTTGGACAATAAAAACCATTTATTATTGTCCTTTTTAGGAAGTGCACTATCCGCCCGAGGCGTACCATCCCCTGGTGGCCGGCGACTCGGTCTGGCTGCGTAACGTGATCGTGACGGTGGACGCTGACAAGCTGACGGGGGCCGTGGCACGCGACGTCGGCTCCGGCAGGCCCGCCAACTTCCTGGTGGTGAAGCTGATCGCGGGAAACAACGTCAACGAGGAAGTCATCGGGAACAACTTTGTGGCGCATAATCTGACAGGGAAGATAGTGCCCATGACTCGGCCAGGTGGGTCTTCAGGGCTTGAAATTAAGAGAGAGAGAGAGAGAGAGAGAGAATGGTTTTACAACATAAAAATTACCTTTGCAGCACAAGTGCTGAATTGCAGTTTCCTTACACAAATACTTAGTTTAAAAAAAATAGACTTATTGACATTATACATTACAAATAAGAATTAAAACAAGTCATATTTAATCCTATATATAAAATCACTTATCATCACGACTTATAGTTTAGCTATAACATTAACTGTTATTCAGCAGGCGGACACAATAAGGTACATGTAGTGTACTGTTTAGCAATTTTTTACGCTGTGTCCAGCACTTAAACTGTGTCTGTTTTGTACTGTTCCTACATGTAAGTGTTCTATTATGTGCATCCCCCCTTTGTGCTGCCAGCCAATTACGGTATTTCTCACTGCTTGTGCACCTTATGCACCCAAATTTAGAGCTGTGCACCCAATTCTTTTCTGTGATTGCACTCTGGCACTCACAGGGCTCGAAATACTGGATGCATGCAAACCTTAGTGCACCCAAAATTGGAGTTCAACAGTGCAACCAATATTTTTCTGTGGGTGCACCAGTGCACCCAACTATATTTTCGTAGGTTTACGTATGTAAAGATGTTAAATGCATACACAAATGTAGTTACTGTAGTATACAGCATTTTCTAAAAAACATCTAAGTTTCAGAAAATAATAAAATCATTGTTAAAGTACTTTTCTTCAGAAATGAAACATAATTAGTTTTCTACTTATTTTATCTTAATATTATATGGTGTACCCCAAATTTTTTTTTGTGTGCACCGGTGCACCTATTCCCAAAAATGTATTTTGAGCCCTGACTCAAATATTTTGTAGGTAACACATAAAAACATGTTTTTTTCCTTTTCCCGTCCAGTTGAGAACATAGACCTGGAAGTGCTGTCCTTCTGTATCACTGACATCATCAGATGTGACACCCAGTCTGCTGTCTCCATCCTGGCCCACATCAGGGCAAAGGTCAACGACCCCAACGCACTCAAACTCACCTCCTACGGTCTGGACAAGTCCTACGCCGTCAACGTCTACCTGTCCTTCGACGACGTCTACGACCCATCGGAGGATCTTGACTCTAGGGTACAGTACCGTTCGCGTATAGTTACCCTAACGGCCGTTACTAACGCGTTCCTTTTTCCCTTTTTCGTTAGTTTTCTGTTACTAACTGGTTACTTTTTCGTCACTTTTCCATTACTTTTTCGTTAGTAACGAGTTTAGACTTCTGCATTCATATGCAGGCCGCGGTAACATCACAGAATAATGGGAGGAGTACTAATTTACCTCATGCGGGGCGGGAAATTACCGATACACACCACTGGAACAGGCCACACCAATTTAATTTCTTGGTTAACGAATTTTTCTAGAAAAAAAATGGAGCAGGCGGGCAAAAAAAATAAAAATAAAAACAGGCTTAGGCATCCTATTATGGCCCAAAATGGTACGATAGGAGCCATGAAGTCAACACACCAGGCTGGTTCAAAATTTAAACAATGAATTTTGAACTTTTAATGATACCACTGCATTGAAAGATGGAATAACTGTTAACTCGGAAGAAAAGGACTGTTCTCAACTGTTCAGGGCAAAATATGAGCATTTTGCAGTTGATTCTGAATTTTTATTTTTATTTCCGTATCAGAAAAAAATCAAGCAGGCGAATCCGTTAACAAAGAAATTAAATTGGTGTGGCCTTATAGCTAGGTTAATTTGAGCAGGGAATTGTGTATTGTAGCCAACATATTGCTTCATGTACAATGAACTAATTTTGTCTCTTCTTCTATCCACAGCTGACTACAGCTGCACTGGGAGTGCCTGCTGAATATGGGCAAGAGGCCATACATTCTGTAAGTGTGGATAGCAGTGTTTTCTACTATTAGTAACTGTTTGCATCCCATTTTTGAAGGCAGATGTCAGGAAATGAGATACAGATATAATTGTCTATATTAAAAAGACTTTAACTTAGCAATTCATCCTTCCATCCATCCTTTCTTGCATCCATCCATCCATTCAACCACCCACCCATCCATCCATCCATCCTTTCATCCATCCATCCATGCATGCATCCATCCATCCATCCATCCATCCATCCATCCATCCATACTTCCACCCCTCCTTCCATCCATCCACCCATCTATCCATCCACCCATCCATCCATCCATCCTTCCATCCATCCCCTATCCATCCATCCATCCCTCCGTCCCTCCTTCCATCCATCCACCCATCTATCCTTCCATCCATCCATCCCTATCCATCCATCCATCCATCCATCCTTCCATCCATCCATCCCTCCATCCACCCATCCATGTCTAAAGCATCATCCATCCACCCATCCATCCATACTTCCACCCGTCCTTCCACCCCTCCTTCCATCCATCCACCCATCTATCCATCCATCCATCCATCCATCCTTCCATCCATCCATCCATCCATCCATGCATCCATCCATCCATCCATCCATCCATCCATCCATCCATCCATCCATCCATCCATCCATCCACCCCTCCTTCCATCCATCCACCCATCTATCCATCCACCCATCCATCCATCCTTCCATCCATCCATCCATCCATCCTTCCTTCCATCCATCCATCCTCCCATCCCTCCATCCATCCATCCACCCACCCATCCACCCATCCGTCCATCCCTCCATTCATCCATCCATCCATCCATCCATCCATCCATGTCTGAGGCATCATTTTTCTGCCCTCCCAGATTGACCAGCAGATGACCATGCAGATCCCTTCAGACCCGCGGTACTGTTCTCGCCTGTGGGCCATCATGACGGTTCACATGGTGGAGGTTGTGGACCTGACTGTGCGACAGGAGCCACTGCTCTACAACAACTACGTAGCCTACCCAGTGGTTGTGCAGTGCATCTCACAAGGTAAAGCTTCTGTCACAACCCGCCGTACGTGCTTCTGTGTGCTGTCTACATTGTACGTGCAAAAATGTGGGCAAACGCAGGGCATCCGTGCGTGGTGAGCACCTCCTCTGTACGGAATCCTATGGATTTGGGAGCACACAGACATGCCGTAGAACTTTAAGTGCATGTAAAACTTTTTCTGCGTGTGGTCTACGGATTCTCCACCTGTGCGTGCGAGTACTGGCGATGCACTTTCCCCGCACGTACCGTACGAAAGACGCACGTGTGAGTACGGCCTCCTTACGGTAAAGTTGCAATCGCACAGAGATCGTACATGTACGTTGTAAGCATTGTCCAACTCACTTACCACTTGCGCAACGTACGATGCACGCAACCGCTCACGGCCAGACGTGGTGTGCAGACCACACTCTTACACCTTGCAAAACTGTGCAAGTGACGTGCGTCAACGCCACTCCTTCCCCACATTTTCAGAAAAAACGTAGCAGACTTAGCCTTAAAAAAAACGTACGGACAAAAGGCACGTACGGCGGGTTGTGACAGAGGCTTAACTGTTGAAGGGATGTTGATGATAAAAGTGTCACAGGCTTTCCTCTAAATTCTAAATCTTCTTTAATTGTCATCCTCAACTGAAGTGAAGCATGATGCTTTTTCAAGTAGCCACTAGTGCAGTGGGCCTTCACTTAGTATGAATATATTGTGTATTCAGCCAAAGTTTTAAGTATGTCAAAGAATACTTACAGCAAAGAATGAATATCAAGATGCCTCTAGACAATATTGTATAGATCTGGGATTTATAGGGCTTTATTGTGAGGAGCAACTCAAGGTTTTTCTAAACTAAGAAAGGGAATTCATGATTGTGCATCTTATTTTAAGTCTTAGAGTTAAAGCACTAATTGTCATGCTTTCATTAATTATTTGAAGAGTTAAAGAGATGTGTGCACATCACTTATAATTAATGAGATGCTTCTGATTCAATATTAACTCTTTTCCAGATGTCTACGGCATCAGTAACCTCGTCCTCAGTGCAACAACCATCTACCAGGACGTGGCCACGCCCGTGACCTTGACCTTTGACCTGGCTTGCACCCAAGTGGACTGCAGTATCCCCCTGCCCACCGATGTCCAGGACACCAACTATAACATCTATATCTACGCAGAGAACACCACTGATCTGACCAGACCTTTCAAAAGGTCCCTCCTCCAGAGGATCGACTCCACAGATTGGTCAGGAGAAGGGGGAGGGTCTTGACACCCAGTCTTCAAGAGGACTTTGTGTCCCCTTCAGGTAAGGCCATGTTGATTTGATTACATGGATGACATCCTCTGGGAACCCCAAAACTGATGCGAGCGTGCAAATAAAAAAAAGTTTGGCAAAACAAAAAGTTGCTTTCATTATGAAATCTACATGGTCATGAACAAGGTTGAAAAGATGACACATGGTATGGTATAGAGAATAATCTTCTCTTCAAATTTTCGTTTTCATTTTTGTTTTTTTGTTTGATTTTCGCATTCTACAACATTTCTATCATTTTCCAATATTTTTTTTGGCAAGTTTGCTCATTTTGCAACTTTATTGTATGATTTACAGTATGGCTGAAAACTTTTTTTTTGAAAACGGCTGAAAATTCATGCGCGCACAGATGTCATCCGTTAGGAAGGGCATCCAGCCGTAAAAATGTTGCTTCAACAAAAAGACTTGACACTTCTAACCCACTTTCTAACACCAAAAAGAAATGGTGCATGGCAATCAATCAACAATTAAGTCTCATTTTACCTACAGGTGGTAAGCTCTGCCAGAGGATCACTGACGCCTCCGTCCACATGACTGTCCAGTTTCCCCTGGAGATCACCCCTGATGTCTGCCAAAACTTCAAGTTCATCAGGCTGGCCGTGAAGACGGGGAGCAACCCCACCCTGCAGGACCTACGCTCCGTCAGCCCCACCGGAAACCCTCCGCCTGCCGCTTCGCAGCTGGACTACCCCGTGGACCAGCTGACTGAAAACAACAAGCTAGTCCTGGATGTGTCCTCCTTGGTGAAATGTGTGGACGGTGAGTTTGTTCCATACCATATTGCGATTAATTATGTTTAGGCCACACCAATTTAATTTCTTGGTTAACGGATTTTTCTACAAAAATAATGGAGCGGGTGGGCGCAAAAAAAATAAAAACAGGCCTAGGCATCCTATTATGGCCCAAAATGGTATGATAGGAGCCATGAAGTGAACACACCAGGCTTTTTCAAAATTTAAACAATGAATTTTGAACTTTGCATGATACCACTGCATTGAAAGATGGAATAACTATAACAACTAGGATGAAAAGGACTGTTTTCAACTGTTCAAGGCAAATATGAGCATTTTGCAGTTGATTCTGAACTTTTATTTTTATTTGCAAATCAGAAAAAAATGAAGTGGGCGAATCCGTTAACCAAGAAATTAAATTGGTGTGGCCTTACCGAAGGAAAACATATTGTTTTTGCTCAGTTTCTTCCTCTTCCTCTTCTCCAGTGACCTCTGACCTGACTAATGACATGATTTGCTGATGTCTGTCACCATGGTGACTGGTGTTGGGTTACATAATGTTGCAATTTGATGGTCTGCTCTGCTCCTGTCACCATATCTAGTAGTCTCACTGTGTTAAAATTATAGATTATGTCAAATTATGTACTAATATTGATTTCTTTCAATTCCATGGTCCATTAGGGCTAAGTGTACTAATTGATGTATCATAATTACAAATTGTAAAACATAACCTGCACAGCTGTACCAAAAGATTATCCAGAGAGTTTTGAATGATCATATAGACCATATTCCTCTCATGTGTTACAGTAACCCTACTGAGGTCAACCATGTAACCTTAACCTTCAAAAAATTGGCATGCACATGGAAGAGTTTAACTTAGTTCTTTTGTTCTCAAGCTTGCTGCAAATAACACTCTGAGCTCAAATACAAGTGCTACTCTAGAGTTCAAAAGAAGTTGGATTCATTCTGAGATGCTTTGATCTTAGATTAAAGACAGCCACAATGAAATTGTTTACTTTGAACTTTTCAGTAGTACCATACAACACACAGTCATGTTTCTCAGTAGTACAATACATGTTGACAATTAAAAGTTAGCCATATTGCTGTATATATAAGAAACTGTCGTGATAATTCACAATAGATTATGTCAAATTATGTCCTAATATTAATTTATTTCAATTCCATGGTCCATTAGGGCTAAGTGTACTAATTGATGTATCATAATTACAAATTGTAAATCGTAACCTGCACAGCTGTACCAAAAGACTAACCAGAGAGTTTTGAATGATCATATAGACCATATTCCTCTCATGTGTAACCGTACTGAGGTCAACCATGTAACCTTAACCTTCAAAAAATTGGCATGCACATGGAAGAGTTAGTTCTTTTGTTCTCAAGCTTGCTGCAAATAACACTCTGAGCTCAACGAAATACAAGTGCTACATGTACTCTAGAGTTCAAATAAGGCGAATTCATTCTCAGACTCTTTAATCTTAGATTAAAGTTAGACAGCCGCAATGAATTTGTTTACTTTGAACATTTGAGTAGTACCATACATGTATCTCTTAAACTAGTGTCTGGCCACATGTTAAGGCCGACTGTTTATGTGAAGTCGCCCAAACCGCGATTCGGGTAACTCACATTCCTCACATCTGGTCCACGTGCCATACATTCCTTTCAAACCGCGTCCGATCACAATTCGCTTGAGCTACATTTATTGTTGTTTGATAAAAAATCGCAAGGTAGCGTGCTATTAATGTCAGAGGTCAACAACCTGCTTTTTTGCTGATGCCCCCCTCCCAGCGTATCTCGGCCAAATGCCGACGTGGTCCCGCCAGAGGTGGTGAAGCTCGCCCTAGAACGGACACATTTTTTGACCATTACTGCTCTTTAAGTTGCTGCCACGTAACAGTTGGTATTGCATATAAATAAAGAAATATCACCCCGTAATCCATGACCAGGCGAAGTCACATTGAAATCACATTGCGTTCAGAAGCAAATCGCGATTCAGATGGAGCCACTTGAAACGGGCTTCGGGGTAAACCACATGCATATGTAAAGCGCCTTGGGTGACCTCACATAAACACAGCCTAAGTTGCTGCAAAAGCACTGCACTGTCTATAAAATAAATTGAAGGACACTTGCAGAAGAGATGGAAATGCCTTGTGCAAGCCTCAAAGGCGTGTACTAGACTTCTTGACTTCATTTTGAGTCAATCATTATTTCACAGGCCTTGTTTGGCCTCAGGAGGTCAGTAGTCTGCAGCTCTTTGACACTTGGAGCTTTTCCAACATATACAGGTCTGAAATCAAGTCTGGCCACAGATGGGAAAAATGGAGGGCATCCAAGAGGTCACATGCTTAGTGTACAATCAGACTACTAAGTTATACATGGCTTTCTTTCAGAATGGTTGCCAGATGGCAAAAGACTGACTGAAGTTTTTTCTCTTTTGCTGACAGAATGGCATGCTAGACTTTTTATCATCTTCATCACAGGCAATTCTTGCACAACGAAACTCTCTCTGCACCTAATTCTCCATTTAGGTCAAGGAATAAGTCTCTTTTGATGGGCATTTTTCCAGGGTTCTTTCAGAGCTTTTTGGCTGTGTTATAGAAAATGTAATAATAGCAGTGTGTTACTATATTTGGGCATGAGTCATCAGAGTGGCATGCAGAGCAAGCTACCAATAGGCATGCAGCTTTCCTCTATTCTTCTTGCTGATTGGCTGTTGGGATTTGATTGGGTTAACTCAATTAACACCTGTACAAAGCCATGCTTTATTGACATTCAAGTGTTTTGGTAGGTACATGTATATCAAGCTTTCCTGCTCCAGCATTGGAATGCGGGGCATAAACGCTTCTTTTTATCTTAAAAATCAACAGTTTGCATTATGCAATTAAAGATCATAACCAATAATGTAGGGGATAGCTATCCCAACTGTTGTCACTTCATATTATAGTAATCAATGTAAAGAATTGTTTTCCCTTGTGTTTCTCCTTCTTTCCCTGCCATGTCGTAAAATGCCATCCACTACATTTTCTCCAAAGCAAATGTCGGCCTTTCTAGTTTTTTGGTCTGGGTCCAATATGCCAATGAGGCTTCACAAAAGTACAGACTTTGAATTACTGCTCTTAGAAGTCCACCTAGACATATAATTGAGAAGACTTTTGGCCCAGTCCATTAGCTTTTAAATTGATTCTGAAGCATTTCTGTCATTGTCAACCTGGAGGCATGCCAGAAGTCCATGGTAGGACCATATATTGAAGAATAAATACAATCTAAACCTTGAGTGCTATTATTAATATATAGCAATTGTAAATTGAGGGACAGTCACTTTTTTTTGCAATCAATGTGTTCCAGACTAGTCTAGTTTTGGTATGTGACCGTTTTTTTTTAAACCGAATTTAACATCATTTTTCCCCAACCGGGGGTTAGACGTGCTTGCACCAAGTACAAGTCTTTTTTTTGAGGCAGGATTTTTACGGCTGGATGCTCTTCCTAACGCCAACCCAAACCCTAGTAGGGCCCAGGAACCCTCTAACTCGGAGGGGGAAATGCGTGTTAAGTGCCTTTCCCAAGGGCACAACGTCTGGGTGCTGCCCAGACATGTCTGGGTCCAACCCTGGGGATTGAACCTGGGTCTCCTTGCTTGACTTGCTCTATCCACTACACCACACAGACGCCACACTGTGCCGTGCTTGGTAAAAATGGAATTTTGCCAAGCATGACTGTGACATAGAATGTTGGAACAACCGGTAGTCCATGACTGAATATTATAGGTTAAAGGTAGATAAATGTAGTCCAATAGCCATTTTCAAATGTCACTTTTCAACCCAGTAGCTATAGACCATGACTGTATATTATAGATTAAAGGTAGGTAAATGTCACAAGTCCTGGATTATAGCCTTTTTCAGGTCAGTGGGCAGTGGGCTGTGTCTAGGGCTCGGTATTGGAATGCAGAGCCCATCCCTCTCCTTCCACCATCTTTTACCACCCAAAGGCCACACCAATTTAATTTCTTGGTTAGCAGATTCGCCCGCTTCATTTTTTTCTGATTTGTAAATAAAAATAAAAGTTCAGAATCAACTGCAAAATGCTCATATTTTGCCCTGAACAGTTGAAAACAGTCCTTTTCATCCTAGTTGTTACAGTTATTCCATCTTTCAATGCAATCATTATGGTATCATTAAAAGTTCAAATACATTGTTTAAATTTTGAACCAGCCTGGTGTGTTGACTTCATGGCTCCTATCATACCATTTTGGGCCATAATAGGATGCCTATATAGGCCTGTTTTTATTTTTATTTTTTTTCGCCCGCCCGCTCCATTATTTTTCTAGAAAAATCCGTTAACCAAGAAATTAAATTGGTGTGGCCTAACTGACTGAAGTCAGGTACAAATGTACATACATTGTATTTTACATCTGGGTGAAGTGAGGTAAGTTGTGAAAAGTGCCTTTCCCCAGGGGTCTGTCAGTGATTTGAACCCAAATTTCAGTCAACATTACTCTTACATCATCAATTTAGGCCACAGCAAGTAATTTTCATGGATGACATCAGCGCATGCATTCATTTTCGCCTGATTTTGGAAAAAAAGAACAAGAAATTTTGTTGCCTTCTGACGGTCGTCAACATGCCGAAAATGGGGAATATGTCTGTTACCATGCCGGAAGGTGGATGGCAGATAACTTAATGAAGAGAGGAGACAAGAAAAGGCTCTGATTTTATTAATGTTTTGTTTCTTACTTTGATGCAGTGATATGTGATGCTGGCTGTGTATATGTGATGTTCCCACTGAATCAAAACCATTTGATGATTGAGTCAAAATTTTAAAATGTAGGAACCTTGTTTTTTTTGGCCCGCCTTGTTTTCTCTCGCCCGCTCACATTAGATTTGGAGAGCACGTCGGCAGAACGTACTGCGCCTGCGCAGAACCCTGTATTTTCACGATTTTCGGTGGATTTTTGGTCAACGTTGCATCAGAATTTTGCCTGTTGCATGCAAAGGATATCTTTTCCTACATAAAATTTGGAAACTACAGACGGGATGTTAACCTTATATGCACTAGTACGACCCCATATGAGACATTCTGCCGAAGTGCTATGTACAATACATGTACATTATGCGGGTTTCGCGCAGGTGCAGTGCGTTCTGCCGACGTGCTGATTTGGAGTCTGCAGAGGATGTCATCCGTAAAATTTACTTGCTGTGGCCTTATCATCCCCATCTTTTCCAGACAAAGTTGATCTCCATCTCAAGCCGCACGAGGGGTTCAGGTTCTGGAGTGAGGATGTGGTGGACCTGGGGCAGTTCGCCCCGTTCACCATGAAGGCAGAACTTCAGTTTGGCAGCGCACTGCAAGGAGCAAACTTCTCCACTGCTGGCAGCCCACACTTCACCTACAAGTTCTACATATCTCATGATGAGGTGAGTCGCGAATTTTGGTTGGAAGATAGCTCTTGGGGTAGGGAAGAAGTGACATGAGTTTGGGTCCCCTAGCAGCTCGTTTTGGAACTGCAGGAGCGTTTGTTGAAAAATCCTTGAAGAAGGATAACTCAAGAACTGGTTGACGTATGTTTTACAGTCAAACCTCGCCAGTTATAGTTTTATTTTGTGTACTGTATGTAACGTTGACAGGACTGCAAAAAATAGTTTTTTTACCTTCGCCAAGAAGGTTATGTTTTCAGTGTAGCATTTGTCCGTTTGTCTTTTAACAGCATAACTAAAAAAACCTAGTATGCATTGTCATGAAACTTGGTAGGTGGGTAGGTCTTGATGAGACCTAAAAATTATTTAAATCTAAAAATTTGATTTTGGGCCCCCTGGCGGCTTTTGCTGGTACTGCAGTAGAACTTCCGGTTTTGATATCCTGCAATCTGGACATGCTAGGGTCACAAATTTTGGTTGGTAGATAGCTCTTGGGGTAGGGAAGAAGTGACGTGCGTTTGGGTCCCCTAGCGGCTTGTTCTGGAACTGCAGGAGCGTTTGTTGAAAAATCCTTGAAGAAGGATAACTCAAGAACTGGTTGATGGATTGTATTGTTTTTTGGTATGAAGGTAGCTTAAGTGATGCTTCACATAATCAGATGACAATTATGCAAATCAGGAACTACTTTGCATAATTAATGAGGAAATTCTATAAATCTGCTTCATTCGATAATAGGACTATGAAACACTTGTGACATGTAATTGAGAATGAGAGAAACATCCGAGGATATAGATTATATGAATGAAGGCCTTAATTTGCATATTAATTAATGGGAAATTGCTATAATTTCATAGTTGTAATTGCTGGGAATTTCATATTTGCCACGTTTGGAAGTTAAGTGAAGGTGAACAGAAATGAAGATAATTATTTCAAATTATGACCAACATTACTGGAGAATATGATCACTGATGTAATCCATGCAAATGAGTCTCTCATTTGTGAAATCAATGATTAATCCTTTTTTCTAGGCCTAAGTATAAACTGTACATACCTAAAGTTGAACTGAAGCAGACAATATTTAAAATTACCTGCAGCATGCAAGTTTCACCTGCACTTAGTCTATACATGTAATTTCATTGCTACAGGACAGACAACACTTGAGCTCCTGTTCTGTATAACAGGAGCTTTCTGACTAATTTCCATTCTCTTGTTTTGACTTGTCTGACTTTTGTTCCTTTTTCGACTTCCAAAAATTTGTCTTCACTTTATTTGCATATCAATCAATAGTTGTGCTTATAAACCTGCATTTCCCCTCTGGTCTCTCAGTCACTGACGAAAGCTAGTGGATACTAGCTGAAACGTCTGACGTTTTCAAAATCATATCCAGTTGCTTGAGTAACTGTTTTTTGGCATATCGTATTACCTGGATGTCTAACCTTCATCGACGTGATGTAGTTATAGTTTATCAAAAATTGTTAAACAGAAACATTACTGAAAAGTAAGTTTTGAAAATTTATTTGATGTGTTTTAACTTCAATAATTCTTGATATGTTGCCCAGGTTCTAGACCCGTTGGTAGACAAAGAGGTTCCTTACAACATGAGCTACCTTCAGCGGGATGAGATAGCCAAGGAGATCATGACCTCTCCTACTGAATTTAAACTCACCGATCCAGTAGGTGAGTACACAGCTGTATATTTCTTATTATATCATACCCGGGCCGCGATAACGGGTTCCGGACCAGGCCAGTCCGGAACCCATTATCGAACGCTTCCATGGCTTCCATAAAACGATTCGAACGCGTTTCGCCCTAACCGCGCGTGCTCCTTTCGAAAATTCGAATACAGAATCCGGACGTTGGAATTGATGTTGTTGCATTTTAGGGTTCAGTGGCACCAACTTTTGGCTCATCTTGCATTGAAAGGCGTGTTTTCTTGGGTGGGTATGACATAAATAAAATACAACACGGTGTATTCCGCATCACCCTCGGTCCCGGCTGGTTATAATAAGCTAGTTTATCCCTCTAACTTTCAAACTATTCTTGTCCAGACCATTCTTCATTACTATATTTAGTCATGTTCAGATCTGTTTTGTTTATGTCTCAGAGATCTATTGAATCAACTTTGACACGTAACCAAAGGCAATATCACACTTCAATTCCATTCCTATAAAAAACTGTTCAAAGAAATTTAAAAAAAAAACTGTTCCATTCTTTTGACAGATTCATAAACACACGACAAAAGTTCAGATACACTGGGAAGCTTTAGAGACGTATTCTGTCTCTTCTTCAACCCGATTAAGATCTCGTCTTGGAGTTCTCTTGTCATGTTAACTTGTGATAATCTGTTCCATTCTGTTGTTCTCTTGTAGGGTTGCTGATTCCGGTGCATGGTTTTGTGGAGTACTGTGGTGATGTGTACATTGGTGTGCTCTTGACGAGCGACCTTGAATCAAACACAGACAGTGCTAACAACTATGGGATCAACAAAGTGTTCCTCAGATGCCCCAGAGGTAGGCCTGACTTTTATAATTTTTTTATTACTTCTGGGTACAGAAGGATTGTTTTGGGTGGCTGTTTTTCTGGACTGAGGCCACACCAATTTAATTTCTTGGTTAACGGATTCGCCCGCCCCATTTTTTTCTGATTTGCAAAAAAAAACCAAAAAAAAATTCAGAATCAACTGCAAAATGCTCTATTTTGCCCTAAACAGTTGAAAACAGTCCTTTTCTTCCTAGTTGTTACAGTTATTACATCTTTCCATGCAATGGTATCATTTAAAGTTCAAAATTCATTGTTAAAATTTTGAACCAGCCTGGTGTGTTGACTCCATCATTGGGTCCTATCGTTCCATTTTGGGCCATAATAGGATGCCTAGGCCTGTTTTTATTTATTTTTTTTTTTCGCCCGCCCGCTCCATTATTTTTCTAGAAAAATCCGTGAACCAAGAAATTAAATTGATGTGGCCTGAGCATGCGTGTGTGTTTGTGGATCGGGTAAGAATTGATAGGCACAATGGAGGCTCAGGCCAGGAGCCAGCAAGAATTAGAGGTTGACATGGGGGAATTCAGGAAGCCAAAGATAGCATGAAGTACTTTGAAGAATTCTGAAATTTCTGTTGTCTTTTTATTTCTACCACACGTCATGTATTTTTCTTGTGCCAATCCCTCTCTTCAATGAATTTAGCATGATTGTACAAAATAGAGTATAATTATTCAACAAAACAACATGAGAGACCAAAATATCAGCATGGCATAATGCCTCTGACCGTTTACAGCTTAGAGGTACATATCCAATCTTTTGTCACAAACTTCTCTGTTATATAGCAGATCATAATGACCCCCAGTGGGGGTCTTCACGCTTTGTTGAAAATCGAAAATTCTCAACATGAATTCCAAAGATAATGAAAGATTTATCTTTTTTTTATTCTTTTTTTTTTCAGACGTCCTAAAGATTTCAGACTTGGCCATCAGCATGCCACAGGCCAAGCTGTGGTCAGACGTCCCAGTCAGGATGACCATGCAGGTAGCAGTGACCAACACTGGACAGAGGACCATTCCACAGGCAGAGGAGGGACAGCAGAACTTCCACTTCAAGGTTTGTTAACCATTTTTTTATTTGAAAAAAGATATAACATTAAATTTGTTATTATTCATTCTTCAACATCATTGCATGTTTCTTTGCGTAGCTACAGGAAAGAAATACAATGTAGCTATAGGAATGACAATTACTCAAGATGTACAAATGTACATGTAAAGCCTTGGTCACAACCTGCGGTGCGTGCTTTTTGTCTGTACGTTTTATTGGGAGGCCACGTCTGCTACAGGAAGGAGTGGCGTCGACGCATGTCACTTGCACGGTTGCGCAAGGTGTAAGAGTGTGGTCTGCACGCCAAGTCTGGCCGTGAGCGGTTGCGTGCATCATTCCTTGCGTAAGTGGTAAGTGAGTTGTACGTATACGTGCTTACAACGTACGATCTCTGTGCAATTGCAACTTTACCGTAAGGAGGCCGTACTCATACATGCTTCTTACGTACGGTACGTACGGGGCACGTACGGATGGTGAATCCGCAGACCGCACGTAGAAAAAGATTTATATGCACTTAAAGTTCTACGGTGTGTCTGCGTGCTCCCAAATCCGTAGGATTCCGTACGGGGGCGGTACTCACCACGCACGGATGCCCTACGTTTGCCCACGTTTTTGCACGTAGACAGCACGCAGATGCACGTACGGCGAGTTGTGACCGAGGCTTAATGGACTTTCAGGACTTATAAGCCAGTCCAGCTGTCAGTTAAATAAATTTGTATCTGTCAGGAACCACAAGCTAATCTGACTAGACTAGTGGGACTGCCAATTGTAGTTCTTCCTTCAGGAAATACATGTACCTGGAAATTTGCATCAAATCATGAAAATTTGAGTCCTCATATACATGTATAAGAGTTCTTGGCCTAATACTCTCGTTATTCTTTGTAGTTTGCCCATATATTATCGACAATGAAGTTTCCTTTGGTAATTGATTGGAGATGACTTTTACAGAACCTGTCTGATATACCTACCCACCCACCCACCTAGTCCCTTTAAGCCTTGGTCACTACCTGCCGTACGTGCATCTGCGTGCTGTCTACGTGCAAAAACGTGGGCAAATGTAGGGAATCCGTGCGTGGTGAGTACCGCCTCCGTACGGAATCCTACGGATTTTGGAGCACGCAGACACGTCGTAGAACTTTAAGTGCATGTAAAACTTTTTCTACGTGCGGTCTGCGGATTCACCACCCGTGCGTGCGAGTACGGGCAACGTACGTGCTGTACAGAAGAAGCACGTCCTTGCCGTAAAGTTGCAATCGCACAGAGATCATACGTTGTAAGCACGTACAACTCACTTACCACTTGCGCAACGAACGATGCACGCAACCGCTCACGGCCAGACGTGGCATGCAGACCACACCCTTACACCTTGCACAACTGTGCAAGTGACGTGCTTCGACGCCACTCCTTCCCCACGTTTTCAGAAAAAATGTAGCAGACGTAGCCTAAAAAAAACGTACAAACAAAAAGCATGTACGGCGGGTTGTGACCAAGGCTTTACTGACCAGGTCATTGGGGGGACAAGGAGGAGTTTTTTGCTGCAGCTATCAGCTGTCTGACAAATTTTCCCACAATCCTCCAGTTCTACCTGTCCAATGACAGCAGCCTGAGCGAGGATGACATTGAGATGCCCTTGTTCCTGATGTACTCCTCCTCCGACCTTCAAGAGATGAGGAAAGTGCTGCTGCCCCAGCAGAAGGCTCACATCAAGCAGACCACCATGTACTTCACTCTGCCTCAGGACAACTGTGGCAGGAGGAGTAAACTTCTCGTCCATGTGTCACCAGCCAGGTCGGGGAGTTTTAAAATTATAGTAAAACGTTAAACTTAACATAACGTACAAATGTAACATGTCAAATTGAGGGCACTAGAGGTGGAAATAAAACACTAGACATGAATTAAGCTGTTTATTAATGTAGTTTGGACAGGAACCGTTTACAAGTCAGTAAAATTGTTTCTTTTTGATCACTCAGGCCTCAAAAGTTTAGAAGCATGGATGTTCAGGGTTCCAACTGTGCATGCATGAGGTGAAGTCACATGACTTGTAAACAGTTCTTGTCCAAACTACATTAATTTTTAATAAACAGCTTAATTCATGTCTAGTGTTTTATTTCCACCTCAAGTTTTGTTTGAGTTTACCACAAGTACAAGTATACAAGTGGAAGGGAGGACAAAACAGGTACATTGACACCTTTACAAGTTGTCCTCCCAACACTATATACATTGTACAATGCCATTTAACAGGTACAAGTTCATCATTTTTCCTATTTTCCTGTGCTGACTAGGTTGGACTTTGTGGACCAGTTTCCCGCAAATGACATGGCAGTGCACAGCCTGACTGTGGAGTGCTCACACGGTACAGTTATCAAATCTACTCATGCTGTCCTTAGTGCTGAAACACCTGATGCTGTGAAATGCTGCACTTTTAAAACTTTAATTTCTACCAACCTCAAATGCTTGTAATGCTGACGAATGTTTGGAGCAACATCTCAAATATTTTTGGAGGTCTGTCTTCAGGACACTTAGTTGATTTCTGCAATGCTGTCCTTAGTGCTGAAACACCTGTTGCAGTGAAATGCTGCACTTTTAAATCTTTTCTACCAACCTCAAATGCTTATATTAGCCTCAAGAATGTTTGGAACAACATCTAAAATATTTTTTGAGGTCTGTCTTTAGGACACTTAGTTGATTTCTACAATGCTGTCCTTAGTGCTGAAACACATGCTGCTGTGAAATGCTGCACTTTTGAAACTTTTCTATCAAACTTAAATGGTTTAATATACATGTACATGTATTAGCCTGAAGAATGTTTGGAACAACATCTAAAATATTTTTGAGGTCTGTCTTCAGGACACTTAGTTGATTTTTGCAATGCCCTCCTTTTCTTTGTTGTGTTTGTTGTATCCTACGATATTTAAGTTCCAGATTAGAATATACTGCGCTGTATGATATTACTTCTTGCTTGTTATGAACTTAAATCTGACTTCACGTTTTAATTTGCTATCCCTCGAATTTTTAATCTGACTTCATCTTTGAAACTTTCCTTTGTTTAATCTGCAGATAATGTTGACATCAGTGTGAAAGAGTGGAAGGTTCCGGGGAGGGGTGCCAAGAACGCAGAGTACATCGAAAGGGACGTGGCCTTTGACCTTGTCATTGATGTGGCTTTGGAGGGAGCAAAAACTGTGGGTAGGTATGACTCAGTTTACTGTGTTTTGAGTTACCACCTCAGTTTACCGTATTTTGAGTTACCACCTCAGTTTACTGTATTTTGAGTTACCACCTCAGTTTACTGTATGTTGAGTTACCACTATAATTTATTCTCATTCTGACCTCCGACCTCTCCCTCTCTGGTTTGAGTTGCATTATCAATTTGTTTAATCAAGAGATTTTTGTTGTTAATTTGTTTCATAGTTGACTACATTAACTGATTATTAATTTGATTTCTTAAGTTACCTTATGTTACTTAATTATGTTACTTTTATAATGTCAGTGATCACTCTGATTCGAACTCAGCTTATGTTACTTAATTATGTTGATTATTTTAAATTATTTAATTTATCTTAATATTGAGTTGAATTCTGTACATTTCTGTTGTTATAATTTTGAATTTTGTGTGGACTCCAGGAAGAATAGTGGTCAGTTGAACACTAATGGAGGTCTAATAAAAACAAACAAACAAACAAACGAACAAACTCAGACATCATAGCTTTGTGATGCATTTATGTCACTGATTTAGTTCCTAACACTAGAAAGGCCGACATTTGCTTTGGAGCAAATTCAGCATGGCTTCACCACATTTCACGACTTGGCAGGGAAAGAAGGAGAAATACAAGGGAAAACAGGCAACAATTCTTTACATTGATATAACTATAGTATGAAGTGACAACAGTTGGATAGCTATCCCCTACATTAATGGTTAGGATTTTTAATTGCATAATGCAAACTGTTGATTTTAATGATAGAAAGAAGCGTTTATGCCCCGCATTCCAATGCTGGAGCAGGTAAGCTTGACATACCTACCAAAACACTTGTCAATGAATGCAGTTCATACTGTCAATATGGCATGGCTAAGTACAGGTGTTAATTGAGTTAACCCAATCAAAACCGAACAGCCAATCAGCAAGAAGAATAGAGGAAAGCTGCATGCCTATTGGTTGCTTGCTCTGCATGCCATTCTGATGACTCATGCCCAAATATGGTAACACACTGCTATAGTACATTTTCTAAACACAGCCAAAAAGCTCAAATAAAACCATTCTAAATGCCTGTATCACGAAAATGGAAAAAAAAGGCCTTGGGGTATTTGCCCATTCTACCGTCATACCAAATTTCATGTTATTTGGCCCCAAAATGAAGGAGTTGAATCAGTTTAAAGAAAAGGCAGGAGAAGAAGGAGAAGGAGGAGAAACGTGAGGAAAAACAATATGACTTCACCACATAGGCTACAGCCAACCAACAAAAGCATTGTGAGCCAGTCAGAATTGCCCTGAGGAAGGTGACAGACGGTCACCGAAACGTTGGCTGAATAAAAGACTTAAGTCTTGGTTGTGTAAAAAGAGTCTCTTCACTTAATGTGTCATCATGTTTTTCAGTGGGAGACACACTGAAGATGAAGTTGTTCCTGTCACGAGATGGCCAGCTGGATGAACATGACAAGATGTTAGTGGAGTACCCAGCTGAAGAAAGTTCCCCCCACCCACTGGAGACTGATATCTACCACTCAGCACAGGTCTGTCAACAGAACTGGCAAAAACTTCATTTTTTTATGTTAACTTTGTGTTCCACCACCTACAACACAACCAGGGTCACTCTTTCAAATTTGAGTCCACGGATATCTTAGACCACGAAACACGCTGGTGGGAACGGGGTGTTAAAGAGGCAATATATGAAAGAATGTACAACCCCACCCTCAACAGGGAAGGGGGGCTATGGGTCGATCTTTCCGGCACTTGGGATTTGGCACTCCCAGCCCCGAGGACAGACAACACTTAAGCTCCTGTTCTGTATAACAGGAGCTTTCTGACTAATTTGCATTATCTTGTCTTGACTTGTCTGACTTTTGCTCCATTTTCGACTTCCAAAAATTTATCGTCACTTTATTTGCATATCAATCAATAGTTTGTGCTTATAAATCTGCTTTCCCCTCTGGTCTCTCAGTCACTGACGAAAGCTAGTGGATACTAGCTGAAACGTCTGACGTTTTCAAAATCACATCCAGTTGCTTGAGTAACTGTTTTTTGGCGTAACTTTGTGTTGCTGCATGCTGCTTTTGCCTAGTAAGTAGATTGTGATGATATTTGGTGTACATGTACAGTTGTACAATCATGTATGTGTAAATAAAGGTGAAGGTTGCTGAAGAGCCTCCTGGTGGCCTTTCTTATTACTGCAGCAGAGCAACCTTTTTTTTCATATCTTCTATTCTGCATTGGACATTCAGTGGTCTTACATATTTGGCCAATGCATAGCATGTCATAGTACTGCAGCAGAACTAGTTTTTAGTATCTTATGATCTAGACATGGTTACAATGTTTGGGTAGTAGATGCCTCCAGTGCTCAGAAAGAAGTGAGAGAATTTTGGGCCACCTAAATTGTAGATGCTTTTTCTCAAACTGCAGGGACAATTGTTTAAAAAAAATATTTGAAAGAGGACAATTGAGGAGTTATATATATTCTGCATTTTAGCTTGAAAGTTCATCTGTGTTCACTTGGTAGAAATCATTATGAAGCAAGTTTAAACTGTAATTTTCAACACGACTCACCCAAATTTTCGACTGTACAACTCCAGTCTTTGTCAAGGAATGAGCAATCCACCGCTTCCGTGATAGACTTTCTGCAACCTATCTAACTAATCACGTGTGTTATCTGTGTGACGTCATGGAAGCGGAGAATTGCACATTCCTTGGCAAACACTGGTCCGGGAGTTGTTCAGTCAAAAATTTTCAATTTGTTGTGTTGGAAAAATGAGTTTAAACTTGCTTCATAATCTGCATTTTAGGCCACACCAATTTAATTTCTTGGTTAACGGATTTTTCTAGAAAAATAATGGAGCGGGTGGGCAAAAAAATAAAAAAAAGCCCTAGGCATCATATTATGGCCCAAAATGGTACGATAGGAGCCATGAAGTCAACACACCAGGCTGGTTCAAAATTTAAACAATGAATTTTGAACTTTTAATGATACCACTCCAATGAAAGATGGAATAACTGTAACAACTAGGATAAAAAGGACTGTTTTCAACTGTTCAGGACAAAATATTAGCATTTTGCAGTTGATTCTGAATTTTTATTTTTATTTGCAAATCAGAAAAAAATGAAGCGGGCGAATCCGTTAACCAAAAAATTAAATTGGTGTGGCCTTAGGTTGACTTCAGCACAGCAGTGAACAACCAACCTGACCTGCGGATCCTATCGGGGCCGGAAACTAGGCCGTTCTGCGGCTGGTCGTACTTCATCGTTCAGCTGGACCCAGGCAACGTCTATGACGAAACTGACGAGGAAAACAACGTCGCCGTCGCTGAGTACTTGTTCAAGTGCAGTGGAGGTAAGGCCAGACCGACTTAATTTTATGGATGACATCCTCAGAAGACCCCCAAACTACACGTAGTGCGCGGGCGGGCGGGAAAAAAATCCGGCCAAAAATAAAAATGCTACTAAACTATTACTAGTATAAGGAATACAAAGCTGGTATCATAATGGTGAATTTGCGGCTGCTACATAGCGACGTATAGTACAAGCCGGCAAATACTGTCTTTTGTGGAATTTATGAATCGGAACTGTACGTACTTACGAGTTCTTGTGTCATGGAGCTTTGGTAGCCTGGGTATACATGTATGTATGTCAGGGCATCTTCCATTTAAAGGCATCCAATGCAGTTTTTAGGGATTGGAAACCTGATATTTATCTACCTACTGAGTTGAAACCACACTATCCCAATGTATATTGACCCTCGTGGATCAAAAATTCCCAAAATTCTGACAGAAAATGGTTACTGGAATGGCCCTGGGCTGATTTTCAGGGTACCACCCAGAATATAACTCATCTTGGGCCTTGTTTCTGCAGTTTTAAGTACCCGAAGTATGAAATACTGATTGAAATGTGCTAATGTGAAGCAGTACAGTGTATGTGTCAATATCATTAAGATTATTCAGATTATTTCCAGTTTTGCTGCTCTGAAATCGCATTGGATGTCTTTAAGTGTACAATGTATTTGAAATTAATGAGTGTGACACTGTGATTATGTGATATATCCACACAGACATGCTGGGATTGCGTGATGTCACCTTCACGCCGCTCCAGACCCCCGTCCCGCGGGACATTACGACCTACGTGGTCTTGGAGGTCACCGTGGACTGTATGGGAGGATCCTTCTGTTCCCGCGTACCCGACTCCTCTCAGGAGGGGAAGGACAACATCAAGTTTGTCCTCACAGTGAGTTCAGAGTTTTATTTGTTTCAATTTTCAATTTTATTAAGAATAGTCAACATAGCAGGGGTACATAGTACTGGACTTTACATATTATTAAGTATAAGAAACGCACAAGACAATTACATACAAGAGTGGGACATGAAACCAAAGAACACTAGGTCTGCATTTCGCTATTGTACAGTCTGATTGTGCAGTGGAGGAACGAGTTGTACAGTCTGTTTGTCCGTGCCTTCGGCACCGTGATTCCCCTAGAGTTCCTCAAACACCTCCCTGTGCTGTCCGACCTGGCTCCTGGTACCAAATCATGTAGTGGGTGGTCAGGGCTGAGCATACGCTTGAGCAGCTTGACAGCTGCAAGTTCACATCTTTCTCGGAGTATTGGGACGTGTTTGTTTTGCATAACTGATAAACAGCCTTTATAGCCATAACACACCTCCAGTTTTGCACGTGTAAGTGCAAGCTGCGTAAGACCGGACTGTAAGGTTTGAACCACTCACACAGGGAATACCCTGTACTCTTTTCGATAAGTGCGGTGAGTTCTTTAACATGCGTGGGGTGTGGCTCTCCCAAACACGGGATCTCCATTTAACGTCCTATCCGAGGGACATCCCTAACCGAAGTTAAGTACTCATTTCCACCTGAGTGAAGTGAAAAAAGTCGTGTAAAGAAAAATTAAAGTGCCTTTCCCAAGGGCACAAGATCGGTGACATGGGCAGGGTTTGAATCCGCAACCTCTTTGGTGTGAGCCAAATGCGCTACTGACTGTGCCACACGACCCCACATTGTTGTTTTGTTTCTTATCTTGTCTAACGTATCTGCTCACACAGTTCTCAGAGGACATACTAGGCACACGAATGGTGGACCTAACAGGAGGAGAAGTGGACCAATCTTGGGAAGTGTCGCCTCCTCTTACATTGGGCTATGATACTGGTAAACAGTCAATTTACACATATATAGGCCACACCAATTTAATTTGTTGGTTCTCGGATTTTTCATAAGAAATATGAAGTGACAAGGCGAAAAAAATAAAATAAAAACAGGCCTACGCATCCTATTCTAGCCCCAAATGCTGTGATAGGAGCCATAAAGTCATCACAAAAAGTAGGGTTAAAATTACAATGAATTTTGAGCTCATAATCAAACCACTACTCTGATAGATGGAAAAACTGTAACAACTAGGAAGAAAAGGACTTTCCTCAACTATTGGGGGCAAAATATGAGCATTTTTGAGTTGACTCAGAACCAAAATCTTTTTTTCTTTGCAAATCAGAAAAAAATGAAGACTGAGGCAAATCCAAGAACCAACAAATTAAATTGGTGTAGCCTTAGCAAGTAACAAAAGTGAGAAAAGACCAAAACAAATGGACACAAACCACATACCAGATGTCACTCTTGTGTATTTCGCGCCATGTAAAATTATGTAGAAACTGTTTTTAAATCAGCAGGAATTTGATGAATCAGATATTAAGTAACTGTAAACTTTATCTTGTTGATATACCAACAGTATTTTTCTGACCCCTACCTCTTCCCTCGTGACAAAATTATTGACTTGTAACGTCAGCATGTCAGCAGAACGTACTGCATCAGCAAATTACCTGTTATACATTGTGCATAAAAATAAGCACTTCCAAATTTGCAGAACGTCTTACCATAATGATCGTATTTGTGATTCATAAATGGCTTATATGGTTTGTGTACTGTAAATTTGAGAGAAAGATACAATGAATCTGAAAAAACAGTGCATAAAACCGCCAGGAACATTTAAAGGGGGGCCCGCATGCCCTTGTCCGTAGAGCATAATCGGCTGTTTTAATTATACGTAGAGCGTAGACGGACCTCTCTAATTCAAGGTAGACGTTGGTGCATTCTGCGTAGAGCATATTCGCCGTTTTAATTCTACGTATTGCATTGTAGCCAGAATTTAACGTAAAGCATAATCGAGAGGTTTCCTGATTCAGTGTAATACGTAGCCAGCTCTCAAAATGTAGCGTAGAGCGTTGTCGGGACCCCCCCATGCAGGCCCCCTTAAAATTTACAGTATGTATTGATAGCGATGAATATCACGTCTTCTCTACAGTGGGAAGCAGAAGGTTCCGATTGGCCGGTTGGGTGCGGTATAATGACGATGGAGCGGACGCCTGTAACAAGTACCAGTACGCCACGCTGGGGGTACAGCAGGGGGACAGCACCAACGCTCAGTACTTACTGGACCTGTCAGCGGAAAACAGCATTTACAGCATCCCCTTGACTGTCAGCTGTGACGACGCAAGTAAGATACATCTTTTTTTATTGATTAGGCCATGTTGATTTGATTATATGGATGACATCCTCCGTGAGCCCCAAAACTGATGCGAGCGTGCGAATAAAAAAAAAGTTTTGCAAAAAAAAAAGTTTTTTTCATTATGAAATCTACGTGGTCATGAGGGTTGAGCAAATGGCACAGAACATGGTTTGGCGAATAATCTAGTCTTCAAGTTCATTTCTTTACAATTTCGTCTTTTTTCGTTTGATTTTGGCATTCTACGACATTGGTATAGTTTTTATTAATTTTTTTGTAACTTATGGTATATTTTTGCTCATTTTGCAACTGTTTTGTACGATTTACAGTATGGTTGAAAACTTTTTTTTTTTGTAAACGGCCGAAAATTCATGCGCGCGCGTATGTCATCCATATAATCAAATCAACATGGCCTTAGTAGTTTTATTGCAAATTCATGTCCGAGGGCTAATTGCAGGAACAGAAGAAACATTTGGTATAAAAAACAGTCATATAGACCTATTGATAACTACTAACTAAAGAAACTACTATTAAGAACTACAGAAACTACTGGGTTTGACTTCTTTCTTGAAGACAAAGGATCCCAGTTTTCTGTAATTTGTGGGCCTTTTTTTATTGATTGATCACATTTGTGGAAGGATTGACAAAACAGGTGACTGTGGCTTTTCAAGATGTTAAAACTTGGACCAGATTAGGTTTGAACTGCTCACATTGGGAAGGTCCCCTGCTTTTTTGATAAGTGTGGTGGGATCTTTGATGTGATTGAGGTGTCTTGACTCTCTTTAAGTCCTACCAAAGAGGACGTCCCTGTAGATAGAAACTGATTTTTTTTTCACATTTTTACATTTTTCAAGTCAAGAGGGGAAGTGAGAAAATAAGACTAAGTGTTTAAGTGCCTTTCTACAACACTGGGGCCTGCAAGGGATTCAATATGCTCTGGTAGCATTTGAACAGTTTCTTTGGTAAAATGATGTGACAGTGATGTTTTAGCAGCTTGCTATAAAAACCTGAATGTGTTTTAGTTGCTTTGTCATCTATTTGCAAGGAGGAGACTTGGCATAGAAATAGGTTAAAACAGGCTATTTGCAGAGAGAATGAAAGACACTCCGCAGCTAATATAGATTTAGATACCAGGCTAATGTTTTGCAACATGGATGGCATGTTCAGCACCAAGGAGAGGGAAGCAAAAGTCTGTTTTCTGTTATGTGAGTCAAGAGGGAAAGTGAGAAAATAAGACTAAGTCTTAGTGTTTATTAAGTGCCTTCCTTGAAGGTTCAACACTGGTGTATGCCAGGGATTCAAACTCAGAACCTTTAGATTCTACAATCATGTAAGTCGACAACCGTAACCACAGGTTAGACATTCTTGCCACCATCGTGAAACAACCTCCTCTCTGTTTAAAGTTAAAACTTTTGGTCCAACACAAAAAGTTCTCTCACTTAGAGCTTTAGACCAGTCACTCTGGTCTTCCTCTGAGTCAGTAGACTGACCCAGTGACATGTCATGTAGTTCTTTGAAGTGTGACGTCAACACTGGGTCAAAGGTATCTGGTAGACCAGCTGTCATTGAACCGTGACGGGGGCCGACATCGTCTACAAGATACTTTTGACCCAGTGTTGACGTCACACTTCAAAGAAGTCACGTGACAAGCCTCACTGGGTCAGTCTACTGAGGAAGACCAGAGTGACTAGTCGAAAGCTCTAGGTGAGAGAATTTTTGTGTTGGACCGAAAGTTTTAACTTTAAACATGTAACTACCAACACAGATGAACTTTCATGATCATTAAACCTCCTCTCTGCTTGTCCAGAGTTCATTGACCTGCTGCCTAGCCTCCAGCTGATGTCCCAGGACGAGATTGTGGACATGTCCGAGGGCGCGGCGGTCGTCGACTTCCGACTGGACGTCACGGTCGTCCTCAACAACGTGGACGGCTTCTTTCAGATCCCGGAGGACAAAGATGGCAGCCATTTTGAATTCCAGCTGTATGTTTCAGGTACCAACAACATTATTCTGGTAAAATTTCTTAAAATTAGCCTTAAAGGAGTACTAACCTCCAGAAGGGGTTGCTATATTCCGACAGGCATTAATTTTAGGAAGTGAAAAATGCATATTACTTTACAGTATACAATTAAATGCCCATTTTGCGCTCAAGTCTTAAAACGCATCGAATCCAGGACAAACTCTCCAAATACCCTCAAAACTATCCCAGAATACACCACGCTACCCCATTGGTGTCTATGTTTTAAACAAAAAGTTACGTTACAGACTTTATTTCAGGGGCGATAAGAAAAATTCCTACCGTTTTGTGTTATTTGGTATCTTACAAACCATTGCCTTTCTTGATGTCCTTATCGCCCCTTATTTATGCCGAAATATAGACGATGAAAACAACGGCGTAATCTAATTATCTTTTCCATAAGTGGCGTAATCTAATTATTTGTTCAATTAATACTTACATGCAAATAAGTTGAGAAAATCAAAACACGCAGGATGAAACTGGCGCTCACTGCATTAGACATCCTCATATAATAGTATTCAAACCACAGGTCAAGCAAAGTAAAGCAAGTAATTTCTCAATAATCAGCTTGTTAATGTGCTTGTCTCCTACCATTTTCGGCGAAAAATGTTAATGTTGACCTGAAGTGTATGAGTATTGCGTAAGCCAGAGTTCCCGGATGTATCAATTGTGGTTCAGCATGGGGAAATTTGATATTGATATCGCTTTACAAACATGCGCCGCGCAAGTCGTACAAGCGAAATTATGTAAAAAGTCGGCTAGTTATGTATTCATCGCAGCATGATGTATCGAAAAATAGCACTTCCTTCTGGAGGTTAGTACTCCTTTAAAGGCTCCAATGCAGTTTTTAGGGCTTGGAAACCCGATTTTTCAAAATCAATAGTCTTGTCACTTATCCACATACTGAGTTGAAACCACACTATCCCAATGTATATTGACCCTAAAAGAGCAATACCCAAAATTCTGACAGAAAATGGCTGCTGGAATTGCCCTGGGATGATTTTTAGGGTACCACCCATAAAATAAAGGACTCATCTTGGGGCTTGTTTCTGCAGTTATAAATCCCCAAAATATGAAATACTGATTAAAATGTGCTAATAAATGTGACGGAAGCAGTATGTGTCAATATCATAAAGATTGCCAGGATTCAGAATATTTCCAGTTTTGCTGCTCTGAAATCGCATTGGATGCCTTAAATTTTAAGGATGTATATGAACTAGCACTTTGAGACTTCAGCAAGTCTTTTGTCGATTTTCTCTAGTACATACATCCTTGAAGCAAGGACTAAGCGGTTAAGGAGGTACATGATTGTATACATTACGTAGAAGAAGACAGCTACTTTGCTTGGTAAATGTATAAAGGTACACCCAGCAGCAATGACAGTTCCACAGTGTAAATGTTTTATTGTCCTTTATCCACACAGCAAACAAGGAGATCACGACTGATGACACTCTGATCCCGTACATGCCATCAGAGGATGCCCTGAACCAACTGAGAGAAGAAATGATGTTTTCTGGTAAACTGACACATAGAATACCACACGGTAGTGATGCTCAGGCGGTTCACTGGACTTGGATCCAGACTTGTAAGAATGTTTAGGTTCAAGTCCAAAAAAACCTAAAAGTCAAGAACCGGACTTATTACCATAAAAGACCATTTCACATACCCCTTTTCTTTCCAAACCACCTTAAACCTTCCGTAGATTGTAAAATCTTTGCTACAAAATGAAGAAAACATTGCCATTGGGCATCGTCAAGTACCGGCCTCCATGTTATGTAGACAAAGTTTCACCCAGACAACATTGCAAGTCTGGAACTGAACCTAAACCTCTGGACTTGAATCCGGACCTGAACCTAAAATTGGGTTTAGGTATGCATCACTACTTTACGGTGTATTCCGTATCGCCCGAGGTGTACCAGCCCGACCACAGGTCGGATTGCTCAAAGACCGGAGGGAGATCCGATCCGCGGGAGGGCTGGGACCAAGGGTGATGCAGAATACACCGTATTGTATTTTTATCTATTAAGTTTGTCATACCCACCTTCGAAAACAATGCAAAATGTGATGAAAAAATGTAACGGCATCAATTCCAACATCTGAATTTGATGTTCAAAGTTTTGAAAGCAGCGCACTCAGTGTGCGTGAAAGGCATTCTAATTATTCTATGGACCATTTGGAACCCGGGTTGTACGCTTTAAGAACTCCGGGCCATACCGCTAGTTATCACACGGGTGAATGTATTGTGGCCCAGGTATGACGTGTAGATTAGAATTTCAATTCAGACCTTTGACTGAACTGCTGTAATTTTTGCTTCCATGTGCATGTATGAAAATGTACCACTTGCATTTAGTGCCAAAAAAATTGGGGCTGAGCAGGTATTTCTCATTTCTACCTTCATCTTACCTGCACCATGAGAGCAGGTATGCAGAAAAAATCATTTTGACCCCTGTATATGGATTTTTTTCTGAAAGTTTATTATGTTTACAGAAGCAAAACGTAATAATATATCTTGTTTTTGCTCAGTTTCCTCTTCTCCAAACACAAAAGGTCAATGACCTGGGCCAGTCATTCTATCACCATGGTAACTAGTGTTGGGTTACATGGTGTTGCAATTTTATAGCAGGAGGGATTTAGACTCCTGTCACCATATAATATATGAATGTGTCTGAGTAGGAATTGACAGAGCAGATTATGCAACAGTAAACATGATATGCATTTGCTTTCAAATTATTGCAGATGTTACCTTTCTAGTTAATATCCCTTTTCATTTTTACCTCAGGGGGAGGAGACATCCTTCCGCAAAAGGGTTTTGTGAGAGAATTAGATTTTCATGTTTGCAGCTGTTTCTCACGTTTGGGTGGACGGATTTTTTCGGGACTTGGTGTATGTTTTGCTATTGGGCTGTAGATGATGCACGTTCTTTTGTTTTTATTGTATGTTTTTGGGCGTGAAAATGGTGCCTTTTGGTGGCCCCAGAACACCCCTTTGAGCGTGAAAATGGTCGCGACCATTGACCTTTGGCGTGTTCAAGCTATTTTTGGTCTGGTCCACGTATATGACCACTCGCAAAGAGGGGTGTCCGGTCTCAATAAATTCTTTGTTTAAATCCCTAGTCCTGCGGCGCGCAATGATTGTTGTTGTGCACATGCATCTTCTCTAATACATAAAATTCAACACCATCAACTATACATAACAAATTACATATAAAAATATACACTTAAAAGCCCGGAGGTATAAAATCTCAGCTTTTACTTGTTAAATTTGCTTTTTCTGTTGCAGGAACACTGCATCTTGGATCTGATGACCTGGTCTTTGATGTGGACGTCATCAGGAGGTACTGTCACAACACGGATCCAGCCTTCTTCGCTGCGATCATTGACACGAGGAGCGAGGGCGCGTACGACGGGAAGATCGGGCAGGTGGGCGAGCGTGACGAGACCAACAACATCCAGGCTGTGGTCGTGAACTTCAGGAACTGTCCAGGTGGGGGATTCTGTGTTGCTTCTGACAATCTTTGCCACAGCGTGAGAAGTGGTATTTCCCCATGACAAAAAATGTTGGGTATTAAAAGTCTGGTGATGGCTACTTTTGACATCTCATGCCAGGCAACCACTACCATGCAGACTTACCTAACATACAATGTATATCACTGTTCTTTATAGGCATCCACTCCAAGTTTTACCTGGGAACTTTTACCCCCGTAAACTTTTGAAAAATGAACCTTCTGAAATGGCATTTCCTGCGATTTTGAGAGGATTTCAAAGGGAAAATCAGAGATAACTTCCTATTTAATGACAAAGTAGGCAGTTTTTCTCCGATTCCAGCTGGTGACACGAATCAGTCCATCTAAAGAGAAATCTTGGACCTTTAGATAAAAAGTGAACCAAAAAGTGGACCTTTGAGCCTTGTTGGGGGGTTCGTCCGAACAACCCTGGCTAGCGCTATGGGCATGATTATAGCTAACCTAGAGTTAGAATACACAGGGCACACTTCACTAAAAGTGGGATTTACATGTACCAACTAATTAATACAGACAGAAAATCTCTACTCTGGTACAGTTTATTTCCCAAAGTAAACCTAAATAGACTTACATTGTACTTGACGTGATTTATTGTCATTGGGTGTACAGTGTATGAGACCACATATACAGGGCTTGGTTACATGCACATACATGTACACCATGGTATTATCACACAATCACAAACTTAGTACATTCTTGGTATAGTCGTGCATGTGTTTTAAGGTCCTGACAATAGTGGTTGTTAATTTCACGGTGTCTGAAACATTAACCATTTTCTGCCTGAGCAGCTGCCATGGATGTGGCCATAGACGACTTCTCAGTCACCAAGTTCTCCAGTGTTGAACTCGGAGAGGACATGGATCTAATGCTGAAGGTTAGTTGATTTCCTTCATACTGTTGTTAAATTTTTTACCCCATTGTTTTTCACCTGTCTTTTGCATCTGTTTTGGTCTTTTATAATCATCTTTTGTATGAAATTTTGTTCGTACAATTGAATTTTATTTAACTAGTATTATTTATGATCTCCTACATTGTAGTATGTTTGTCTGTCATTGAAAATCGGTTTTGGAAATCAGTTTTGTTCAGCTGATGTGCTTAGTGATGCATACCTAAACCCAATTTCAGGTTCAGGTCCGGATTCAAGTCCAGAGGTTTAGGTTCATAGGTTCTAAACCCATGGCATATACAAAATTGCATGTTGGCAACCATGCTGTCTGGGTGAAACTTTGGCCACATAACATGCAGGCCGATACTTGACGATGCCCGATGGCCATGTTTTCTTCATTTTGCAACAAAGATTTTGCAATCTACGGAAGGTTTTAGGTGGTTTGGAAAGAAAAGGGGTATGTGAAATGGTCTTTTATGATAATAAGTCCGGACTCGGTTCTTGACTTTTAGGTTTTTTTTACTTAAACCTAAACATTCTTACAAGTCCGGATCCAAGTCCAGTGAACCGGTATGCATCACTAGATCATGTGCTACCCATGTTTTGAAGAGTGACTATTTGTAACAAACAAACATGTCTGTATCCTATCTTGAAAGTTCATCTGTGTTGGTAGAAATCATTATGAAGCAAGTTTAAATTCCAATTTCCAACACAAGAAATTGGACTCACACAAATTTTTGACTGTACAACTCCAGTCTTTGTCAAGGAATGAGCAATCCACTGACATCACGAAAGCAGTGGATTGCTCATTCCTTGACAAAGACTGGAGTTGTACAGTCAGAAATTTGGGTGAGTCCAATTTCTTGTGTTGGAAATTGAAATTTAAACTTTCTTCATAATGACTCTGACTGTATCCTGTGCACAGATGTCAGTCATCCTAGTGGGCACCAACAGCAGACTTCCCAACATGGCCAGGGAGGTGGGGCACAACAATTATGACATCAAGTTTTACCTTTCTGAAGATGAGCACATCACTGAAGAAGGTAAGTGCAATAATTATTGCAAGTCTTAATGTAAGGTGCAAACTGAAAGAAACTTTATGTATAGAAAACTTACAGTTATAAGCGACAAATGTGTAGTTCTTGGCACACCAAATCTGTAGTGTCCTCATCAATGTTAGGACATGTTCAGTCTGTTACGTTGTACAATATCATGTATGCTAGTTTGGTTCAATATATTGTCAAATTATAATTGAGCAGTAGTAAGTTAGGACCATTTCTTACAGGGATATAGTTTCCTTTTTTTTTGCCTGCTTTTTTTTCTAATTTTAACATCATTTTCCCCCAAAACAGGGGTTAGACGTGCTCGTACCAAGCTTAAGTGCAAGTCTTGTTTTGAAGCAAGATTTTTACGGCAGGATGCCCTTCCTTACGCCCTAGCAGGGTCCATGAACCCTCTAACTGAGGGGGGAAATACGTGTTAAGTGCCTTTCCCAAGGGCACAACGTCTGGTTGCATGTCCGGACATGTCTGGGTCCAACTCTGGGGATTGGACCTGAGTCTCCTTGCTTGACAGTCGGATACACTACCAATACACCACACAGATGCTTGTAAGTCGTATCTGTTCTAATTGTCATTTTCAGACCTACAGCTGCCCTATCATGTGGACGCCATCCACCAGTTGAAGGAGGGGGTCGCAGCTCCACTGATTGAGCATGATGCCAAGGTTGTGACCTATGACCTGAGTTCAGGCAAAAACAACAACCCTTCCATCTCTGTGCCCTTGAACCCTGACCTCTGTGGGAAAGTTGTGTAAGTAGCAAAAGGTTGTGAGAAGAATCAACTGTTCTGTATCTGTATCTGTATCAATTTGGTATATTATAACCACCCTCCTGCATAATACACCTTCGCAGGCACGAGGCTTGGCAGCAGCTGGCTATATTACACCAAATGACTTGTCACACCTAACCCTTGAACATCTACCTCTAAACATCAATGTTTAAAACTACATGTATCTAATGACAATGCCCCTACTGTAGTTGGTGACAGCGTGTTGCACTCTGTGATAGTTCTATAGAACTATCATAGGAAAGAATTAATTTCTGAACACCTCAATCCTTGGTTGATAACTCTGGTACTTGAAGGCATGGCTATTTCTTGCTCTTTTCTGAGCTGGTTTTAGGTAAATGTAGTACTGTAGTTGGTTGGTTAGTCCACCTTTTATTAGTCGTTTTGTACTGTATCAACTGTAACAGCTCTGGTAGTATTTGAACAGTTTCTTTGGTAAAATGATGTGACAGTGATGTTTTACCAGCTTGCCATCAAAACCTGAGTGTTTTAGTTGCTTTGTCCTCTATTTGGACGGAGACTTGGCATAAAAAATAGGTTTGGATAATCAGGCTATTTGCAGAGAGAACAAAAGAGGCTCTGCAGCTAAAATAGGTTTGGATATTAGGCTATTTGCAGAGAGAACAAAAGAGACTCCGCAGCTAAAATAGGTGTGGATATTAGGCCATTTGCAGAGAGAATGAAAGAGACTACACAGCCAAAATAGGTTTGGATACGTTCCTAATGTCTTGCAACATGGATGGCATGTTCAGCACCAAGGAGAGGAAAGCAAAAGCTTTGGTTGCTGTTATGTGATAAAATGGTCCTGTAGCATCTGCTCTTGCTCTTCTCAAGCCATTGATTTGACTAAAAATGTGCTTGGTGATGTTCATGATACAATATCTTTCTTTATTTATTTCAGGCATAATTTCAGGCACAATGACAGCAATAAAAAATATGTCTATAAGAACAGTCTGGCCCAGATATTTCGGAAGAATCAGATTTGAGAACAGATTGGATAATGTTATTTGAGGACCTGAACAGACAGGAAATGAAAGAATAACATTCATTGTTTGCGCCATGCAGCATCGAATGTGTCCGTCCTATCGTAAACAAACATTTCACTGGCACTGCAAAATCTGGGTAGTGACATTCTGATGCGAAAACAGTTGTTGTAAGCAACTCAACACTTGTACTGAATTCCCTGAATTCATTTGTTTTACTTTTGTCAGGTATATTGGAGTGGAAGTCGTGGCACTGACATTCACAGATGCCTACCTGAAGAACAACAAAGCCGTGCAGAGGGTTACAGTGTTGTGCACAGGTAGTTAACAGTCTCTTTACTTTCATGAAAGTTCATCTGTGTTGGTAGTTACATGTTTAGAGTTAAAACTTTTGGTGCAACACAAAAAAGTTCTCTCACCTAGAGTTTTCGACCAGTCACTCTGGTCTTCCTCAGTAGACTGACCCAGTGAAGCTTTGACCCAGTGTTGACGTCACACTTCAAAGAAGCCACGTGACAAGCCTCACTGGGTCAGTCTACTGAGGAAGACCAGAGTGACTGGTCGAAAGCTCTAGGTGAGAAAACTTTTTTGTGTTGGACCAAAAGTTTTAACTTTAAACAGTCTCTTTACTTTTACAGTTTGGTACCATCAATAGTAGAATCCATTTCTCTGTTTGATGTCTTGTAGTCCTATATGATAAGAAGCTTTTGCTGTCTTGTACATCTTATTGTTTGAGCAATCTTACTGTACAACTGACTTCCTTATACTGGCCCTCTCTTAGGTACTGCTTTGCTACCCTTTCTCTTCTCGAGATGGTAAGCATGTCTTCTTTCTATGCTCTAAACATTGAACTTGCTAGCTTGTTACATGTATGTCTTTTAGCTTGTAGAGCAATGCTGCATGCAAAAAATTAACAAAAATTGTTTATATGGGGTAAAATTGATGCATTAGAAGGGGACAATTGTACTGTTCCTTGCAGTTATAATTGTTGTGTCATCAAGTTTTTTTTGGTGCTCAAAAATCTGATGTGAATCATGATTTTCTTAACCTTTGTCCTGCTGGCATTTTTTATACAATATTTTTCAATAATTTCTCAATCAGGTCATAGACCTCCGACTTTTTTTGCCCTGCGGTAGCATAGTTACTTCAGAATCTGTATTTATTACATTTCGCTGCGGTGTGATGCGTTGCACGAGAAATACCCCCAAATTGTACCTATATCCAGAGTATTATATAGATGGTACTGTATGTGCAGAACAACAATTGTTGGGCTTTGCAGTATAAGGTTAAATTAAAATGATATCATTGCTTTTGAACTGTTTATCTTGTGCATTATCATAATTCTTTATTGTGATGATCAGAAGGACATTGTACTAGCTAGATGATGTGAACACAAACCATACCTACTGTACCGTTGGAAGTTTTGAATCTACATTTTTGTTTAAATAGCAATTAAGTTCTTTTGGTCACAACCATTTATTTTTCACGAGCCGACATTGTGATGACCGTCTGTCATCTTCATCAGGGCAATTCTGACTGGTTTACTGTGTACTGACGCTAGATGTTACTTGGTGCATAGTGCACTAAAGGTGTTACATGGTTCACAGTGCACTGTTAGATAGTCTACTTAAGCTAGTTTTTACTGTTAACGAATGCATTTCCAAACGTAGTGCAATTGTGACATGCATTGTTACAGCATAGGCCCATATGCGGTTCCAAATGTAAAGTGTTTCATAAGGTATAGAATTTTCTTCTTACACAACCATAGAGTTTCTCACCTGCTTACGTTTCGATGTCTATCAGTTTCTATTATATAAAATTTGTTAACTAACAATACTGAGCTATCGCAGTCCCAAGTAGAAATTATTGTTCAAGTATTGTCACATACGCATTGTTAGAAATCACAATACAGTCGAACCTGTCTATAGTGGTTAGTGCTGTGTACCTAAACCCACATTTAGGTTCAGGTCCAGATTCAAGTCCAGAGGTTTAGGTTCAGTTCCGGACTTGTAAGTCCAGACCTAAACCCATGTGTTGGCAACCTTGCAATATTGTCTGGGTAAAACTTTGGCCACATATAACATGGAGGCCGGTACTTGATGATGCCCGATGGCAATGTTTTCTTCATTTTGGAGCAAAGATTTTGCAATTTATGGAAGGTTTTAGGCGGTTTGGAAAGAAAAGGGGTATGTGAAATGTTTTTTTTTTTTGGTAATAAGTCCGGACTCAGTTCTTGACTTTTAGGCTTTTTTGGACTTGAACCTAAACATTCTTACAAGTCCGGATCCAAGTCCAGTCCGGTACACAGCACAAATAGTGGTCACTCAAGGGACTGGCCAAATTTGACCACCTTAGACAAGTGACGGTATAGAGAAGGGTGACCGCTAGACTAAGCACAGGTTCGACTGTAGTTACAAACAACATACAAAATGTCGGCTCATGAAAAATAAATGGTTGTGATCAAAGAACTTTGCTATTCGTTTGTTTACCAACCTGATGAAATTATTTATGGATACATTTTTGTTTGTTGCCTGTCCTGGTCTAGAGGAGAAACTGGCACCTCACAAGATGGAGTTGGAGCTGAGTAATGCCAAGGTGTGGCCAGGTCTGGACTATCAACTCCACATGGACTTCCTTCTCATGAACCTGGGCTTTCACAACGTGCCTGAAGGAGGATCAGGTGAAACAATCAATCTTAAGTTTATGAGTTGTACAACTGTAAAGAATTGTTTCAACTGCAAACTTAAAACACTGGAAAAAAATCATTTTGCCTCCTACTACAAAAGTCCCTGCAAACATAGCTGAATTTACATGCAGTACAGCTTATTAACTAAAGGTAAAAAACACATCGAATTTCAAACCAACCTGGCCCAACTTCCAAATCTTCAAGATGTACATGTACAAATGTAGGAATGACTTTTATTATGATTCTTATGTCTGCTTGGAGACTACCAACAAAATGTAAATACAGTACACAGTAAGTACTATTAGATACTATTTATTAGGCTTGCCACACAAGCCCCCCCCCCCACCACCAATACTTTTGCTCTACTAAGGCCACACCAACTTAATTTTATGGAAGAGGGGAGGAGCACTGCAAATTCACCCAATACCAGCTTCCTGTGGTCTAGTACCATTTCTATTTTTGGCCAGAATTATTTTTTATTCACCCGCGCGCACTAGTATGTGGGGCTTCAGAGGATGTCATCCATAAAATTAAGTCGGTGTGGCCTAACTGACAGGATTTTGACATTCTTACTGACATTTGTTCCACATTTGTTGGTCACAGCCTACAGCATACGGGTGTTCCTGTCTGCCGACTCTGTGTTTGATGACAATGAGGACACGCCCCTTGACATAAATTTTGGCGACAGCTTGGAAAATATAAGGCAGGAAATCCTGCCACACCAGGAAACAGACTTCAAGGGTCTCTCGGGTAAGGTGGTTTTAATCATTAAGGAATTATGTTTTTCAATAGTCTTTGTGCTACCTTTCTCATGGTAATACTTTAATACATCTAGTACTCATTCAGTGGTTGTGTACAAAGAACCTTTACCCAATGATTTACCAACTTAATACTGGTATTTACCCATAATGACTAATACCAGGTAAGTCTACACAATACATTGTAGTTGCTTTTGGCATTTGATATAACAAATGCATACTAATTAGGCAACCATTATTAGACTTGCCTGAGACATCATCACACAACAGCTAATTAAAAAAAACACCTATTAATAATTAGTTAGATATGAAGGGCTCATGCAACAAAAAATTAGATTTACCTATAGTGGTTTATATTAACCTGAAATACAACAGTGTCATGCATTTCAATATCTCAAAATTGTACATGTATGTACTCAAAATTAATTGTGCAGTTACTGTTAGTAGTATTTTTCATCTTGTATATAGTTAACATGTAATAAACTGATTTTCTCCCCCTACTACAATGTAAATCAGCGCTTACCAGACTTACATGTACCTGCTGTTTACATTATTATCATTTGGTGAATCCCACTTTTTATGCAATGTGATGAAACTGTTCAATGGCTCCCATCTGTGAATAGTTTAACCAGGTTGGTAAGACACTGAGTGAAGAGACTCTTTTTACACAACCAAGTCTTTTATTCAGCCGACGTTCCGGCGACCGTCTGTCACCTTCCTCAGGGCAATTCTAACTGGTTCACATTGCACTGCAGCACAGGTGTCACTGCTATAGATGCATTCCCAAATGTACGATATTTACAAAATCTACACATATGCGTGATTGGATTACAAGGAAATGTTCCTGGCTGTTAATCAGTTTATCTCTGCCATAGTTCCCATCCGACTGGACACCAAGGAGGCCTGTCTGGAGATGCCGGACATGCACGTGTTCCTACAGGTGGTACCAGACCCCAGCTACCTCCCCACATACACAGCCTCGCTCACAGCATTCTCTGTACCTACAGAGTGTGATGAAGGTAGGCACAGGCAGTACAAAAAGAAATCTAGGCTCCTCTTAAAGTGCTCATGACACCAAAATATGACCTTAGCTGATTGTAATGGACATAACTAGTATTACTAGTTAACTAGTATTACTTTCATGATAATCTGCATGAAAGTTCATCTCAGTTGGTAAATTACATTATGAAAAACTTAAACTGTTCTCCAACTCAAAATTTGACTTCAAGAGAGGCATAAAAGAGGCCATATACATCAGGGCACTTAACCATCGCTCAACCGGGACGGGGGGCGATATCGACTTCAGACAACCTTTGACCCTTTGCTGACGTCACACGTGGGAAAAATCACGTGTCCACGGCACTTGGGTCAGATAGCTGAGGAAGACTCAGTGATTCAGTCAAAAATTTCTGGTGAGTCAAATTTTGAGTTGGAGAACAGTTTAAGTTTTTCATAATTTCATGATAATCTTTAATTAATATGTCTGTTTGACAGACCATGTGGATCTACAAATATCCCACTTTGAGGCCTCAACGGACATCATTTTCACTGACCAGCCATTTGAGTATGCCCTGGACGTGCGTATCCTGGTGTCCAGTCTGGTCAGTCTGTCCAAGGTTGGACAGAAGTATGACGTCACTTTCTACCTGTCCGAGGACCCTGACATTGACCCTGAGGATGACCTGGCACTAGACTACACCTTCGAGGAGACCCAGGGGGCCAGACTCTTCATGTATGTTTGGAAACATGACTGACATTTGCTTATTTGTTTATTTTGATTTTTCACAAAGTGAAAGGTAGGGGAAAACCGGTGCATACACACCTTTATAAGTTGCCTTCCCCCATACAAAAACACATAAATACAACATCAAAATTACATAGTCAATAACAACACATAATAGGTAATCGAAATAGAAGGTTAAGCATATTTCAAATATATGTAATTAGTATAACATGTGTTGAAACAAGTCTTAGTGAGGTCTAGATGAAATACAAGAACTACACCCACAAGAAGTGGTCCAAGTACATGGCAGGTCAAGACTTTAATGTATGTTAAATCTGTTGTACAAAAGGTGGCCTTGAGTACAATGTAGTTTGTGTTTAAATGATATAATATCCATTTAAAGTGTGTTTAAATGACAGATTTTTGTATTGAGAAATTTAAACCAAAGTACTAAACTTTTAGAGTGGTTGTATTTCAGGGTACATGTAGGCAGGAAAAATGGCCTAAGGTTTTTGTAGCATTTTTTATTTAGATTTGAAACTATTCTGTAGTTCAGTATATATGGTTAATATAATATACAGCTGAAATTCAATTGGCAGTGTCATACATTGTAATTCATTGAAAAAGATCACCATTAAAATAAAATCATGGTAACCTTGTTCAAATGAACAGTAGTGTAGAAAAAATAATATTTGCACCCATTTTGTCATTTTCTTATCTATGATCGTATTCTTTGTCAAAAACAACATCAACATGTTATTTTTGACTTTGTTCATGACCTACTGTTCTCAGATATGGAACTCTGTTCATGCGAGTGTACTAGCTAAGTGTCGTGTTGCATACAATAATTGCTTTCGTATTCTCCTCAAGTTGCCAAGAGGTTGTAGTGCTAGTTCAATGTTTGTACACCTCTAGACCGATACATTTGATGCTAGACGCAGTCAATTGTGTTATTCCTTCATTAATAGACTTTACGCCACCAACAATAGTATAATATGCTGTCTATATTGAGGTCTGATTGTCAGTTCAGAAATACGTATTTTAAAAATGTGTATAAATTGTTGTATGTTTAATGTTTATGTGGTTTTACATGTATGTTAAACTTTGTATTATGGGTATTACCTGAAATAAAGGCATTCACTCATTTTGTCTCTATCAGGAACATCCCAGTTGGTTCCCCTCCTCAACAGCACAGCTTCGGAGGCCCACAGGGACAGCTGACTATCCCACAGTGGGCCCAGGGGGTGGGCAGGTACTGTGGACCGGCTTACTTAGGTAGGTACCAATATCGTAAACTCTCTTCTGTCTTAAACATTTGTGAAAGGGACCTGAAAGCTCTTGAGATTGAGTGTGGATGGCCACCTTTTTTGAGTATAGTGTGACATGGCCTGGCCAAAACCCTACTGTACTGTACTGTACTGTACACTAGCTACTCTGCTCTGCTCTACTCTGCTCTGCCCTGCTCTACTCTACTCTACTCGACTCGACTCAAATTGACATGACTCTGCTCTGCTCTGCTCTGCTCTACTCTACTCTATTGTACTCTACTGTACTCTACTCTACTTTACTCTACTCTACTCTACTCTACTCTACTCTACTCTACTCTACTCTACTCTACTCTACTCTACTCTACTCTACTCTACTCTACTCTACCCTACTCTACTTTACTCTACTCTACTCTACTCTATTGTACTCTACTCTACTCTACTCTACTCTATTGTACTCTACTCTACTCTACTCTATTGTACTCTACTCTACTCTACTCTATTGTACTCTACTCAACTCTACTTTACTCTACACTACTCTACTCTACTCTACTCTACTCTACTCTAAGACTACTCTACTCTGCTCTACTCTACTCTACTCTTCTCTTCTCTACTCTACTCTACTCGACTACTCTACTCTACTCTACTCTACTACTCTGCTCTGCTCTGCTCTACTCTACTCTACTACTCTTCCCTTCTACTCTTCCCTTCCCTTCCCTTCCCTTCCCTTCCCTTCCCTTCCCTTCCCTTCCCTTCCCTTCCCTTCCCTTCCCTTCCCTTCCCTTCCCTTCTCTTCTCTTTTGGTGCATCATTTACAACACACCTTTTTTCTCTTACGCAGGTGTACTGCTGACTGACAAACAGAACTGGGACCTGGATCCTTTCTTACCTGACAACAGTGCAGCACTACAGATCCAACTTCAGTGTAGCCATGGTGAGGGATACAAACCCATAACATCATATTCTTTGCCTTCTACAGAAGGCTATGAAATCGTTTTGGTACTGTTTGGCAGATTATGCACGATAAATTTTGAAGGCATGGTCCGAGGTTTACGATTTTTGGTAGGCAGGTTGTCTTAGTGATGGGCATTGTCAAGGCCAAAAATGGGCTTCGTGGGGGGTTCTTACGTGACTGGAGGTGACCTTTTGTGTTTCAAATTATATTTCATCATAATTTACTACAAGGAACATGAATCTGTTACTTTTATAAGCCATATTTAAAAGATATCCCATAGTTACAAATTATGAGATGTGACTCTCTTCAAGCCTCTGTGAGAGGATTTTGCAAAGCTATAAAATGTAGATACTTGTTATTTTTATCAGAGTCAAGTGAGGAAAGTGCCTTTCCCAAGGGCACAACACTGTGGCCAGCCAGGGATTTGAACCCCAAACCTTCAGATTCTAAGTCAACAACCCTAACCACTAGACCACCATGCCATCAAAATGACTAATAAACTGGTGGACGTACCAACCACTAAGTATCTGATACCAGCCCAGAAAAGAACAAGAAACAGTCATGCCTTCAAATATCAGAGTTGAACCAAGAATTGAGGTATTCAAAAACTCGTATTTCCCCAGAACTATCGTAGACTGGAACTCGTTGCCACCAAGCACAGTTGGGGCATCATCACTAGAAAGCTTTAAACAAGACCTGCAATCAAATGTGCAAAGATTGAGTGTAACAGTCGTTCGGCATGATATAGTTAGCTGCCGCCACGCCGCGTGCCTGCGAAGCTGGTGTGTTACGCCGAAGGGCGGTTATACCGGCTATACAGATACAGAAGCTGGTGTGTTACGCCGAAGGGCGGTTATACCGGCTATACAGATACAGATACAGATCTTATGAAATTTTGCCTCCTGTTTTGCAGATGTGCTTGGTGTGTCTGACTTTTCCTTCCATGTGGAGGGAACCTATGACAAGATCTGGCAGGATGCTGGGGGAACTGTTGTGTTTGATGTGACTGTGAGGAACACAGGCCTGCTGGACATCGCTCCAGCTGACAACGGCACAGCAAACTTCCACCTTGTGGTTAGTTAAGCAATTAATGTATTTTCTATACTTAAATTTTGTGAAAATGTAAAATTTCTTATAATCTTCATAGTGTCTGTGTGCAACTTCTTAATGATTATAACCACTGTGACAGTGACTGTCAATTGAAAAAGAAATCTGCTCCACTTTAAGAAAAGAAATATTATTAGATGCAATATGCTCTGTCTCCCTCCTTGGTTGCATATCAGTGCCTAGCACCAAAGAGGGCTACCTCATTCCCGTTTGTTTGTTTGTTTCGCTTAACCGGTAAACCGGCCCAGCAGCGTAACACATCTTATTTAGTTTTGTACGTATGTACAAGCTGCGTAAGACCGGACTGTAAGGTTTGAACACCGGGAAGGAATTGAAATCTACTCTTTTCGATAAGTGCGGTGGCAACATACATGCATATGGTACTAGTTTTGCTGGGCTTCACTTCTTCTTTTGAGGCAGTGGAAGACGAATTTTCTTCTATAATATGTGGGCTCTTTGATTTTAGTAGAAAAATTGATTTTAGTAGAAAAATTGTTTTCTTGTGGTAGGGGATACACAATTTACACAATTGCGCTATAACATAACGCTACATCTAAAAGGGCTTTACTTGTGCAATGAATGTTTTCATATGTTTGAGAATAAAGACATCTGGTACTGAAAGCATGTGTCACTTTTTTTGGGGGGGGGGGTCAACTGAGCTATCTCTCTATAGTGGTCACTTGTCTATAGTGGTCAAATTTGGCCAGTCCCTTGAGTGACCACTGTAGACAGGTTTGACTGTAGTGGGAAAGTAAGGGAGCATTTTGGACACGGTGGTAAAGAAATGCTTTCTGATATCGTCATAACATGAACAATTAGATATCAGGGCTCAAAATACTAGGTGCATGTGCACCTTAGTGCACCCAAGTTCTGCACCAATTTTTTTCCTGTGGGTGCACTGGTGCACCTAAATATTTTTGTACTAGGTATTTTTGTACATATGACATGTATCATAGTATACAGGATATTCTTGGCATCTAAGTGTCAGAATAAATCTTTGTTGCTGTAGTAGATTTTGAAGTTCCCATTTCAGATTCTAGCTCAGAAGAGGAGCAGTAAGATCTGTAATAAGGTTTTGTTTTGTATATGGTGCACCCAAAAAAATTTTTGTGCACCTAAGTTTTTAGGTTGGGTGCACCAGTGCACCTATTCCGAAAAATGAATTTCGAGCCCTGGATATGAAATACTTATCGTATAATATCCTCAGCTCTACAGCTCTGCAGACCAGTTCCTGGACCAGACTGACCTACAGGTGCCCATTGCTGAGATAGACGTGGACACGGACATGCTGGCATCAGGACTGGCCGCTGGGGACAACCTGACCTTCACAGGGGTCAGGGCGAAGGTCAAACCATCAGGGGACATGTGTCAGCAGAGGTAGGCAGTCTTTGATGAGGGCCTGCAAGGGGGGGTCCCGACTACGCTGAATTCGGAAACCTCTCGATTACACTTTACGTATTTACAATAAATTCCAAGTGGCTACAATGCATTACGTAGAATTAAAACGCCCAATATGCTCTTCGCAAAAATATTAAGCGGTCCATCTACGCTCTACGTAGAATTAAAACGGCCGTTTACGCTCTACGGAAAAGGGCTTGCAGGCCCCCTTTGATGACAGTATAAACCTAATGGTACATATAGAATACAACACATTCCGTATTGCCCGGGGTATCAGCCTGACTGTGCATCGGATCGCCCGACGGCCAGAGGGAGATCCAATCCGCGGGAGGGCTGGGACCGAGGGTGATGCAGAATACACCGTGTTGTATTTTATTTATGTCATACCCACCCAGGAAAACACGCCTTTCAATGCAAAATGAGCGAACATTTGTCCCTAAACCAAAAAAAATGCAACAACATCAATTTCAACGTCCGGGCAGGATCAATATTGGGCAGGATTCAAACCCGGGACCTCTTGGGTCTTGGCCAAACACGCTACCGCTACGCCACATGACTCCACGTATCTTCCTATCTTATAATAGCTCAAAATACTGGGTGCATGCGCACCTTAGTGCACCCAAAATTGGAGCTGTGCACCAATCTTTTTTTCTGTGCACCCAAGTATTTTTGTAGGTATTTTTTTCATATCAAATGTATAATATAGTATACAGGATATTCTTAGCATCTAAGTGTCAGAAAAAAAATAATATCTTTCATGTAGTACTTGTTTAAGATTTTGAAGTTAGCTCCCATTTCGGATTCAAGCTCAGAAGAGAAGCAGTAAGATCTCTAATATGTTTTGTTTTATATGGTGCACCCAAAAAATTTTTGTGCAGCACCTAATTTTTAGGTTAGGTGCACCAGTGCACCTGTTCCCAAAAATGAATTTTGAGCCCTTACCTCTATACAACACAGGTATCTGCTGGCATCTTGGCACCGAGGCCCAGGACTAGATGAAAACCTTGTGGATGGATTGAGGGATAACGACTTCTCTGCAGCTCTTTTTGATTGTCACACGGGTAAGTCTTTGTTTGTTTGTTTGTTTCGCATAACCTGTAAACTGCCTTTAGGCGTAACACACCAGTTTTGTACATGTACATATGTGTACAAGCTGCGTAAGACCGGACTGTAAGGTTTGAACCACTCACACCGGGAAGATTCTCTACTCTTTTCGATAAGTGCTGTGGGTTCTTCTTTACGTGCGTGGGGTGTGGCTCTCCCAAACACGGGCCCTCAATTTAACATCCTATCCGAGGGATGTCCCTAACAGAAGCTAGGTACTCATTTCCACCTGAATGAAGTGAGGAAAGTCGTGTAAAGTGCCTTTCCCAAGGGCACAAGATCGGTGACATGGGCAGGATTTGAACCCACGACCACTTGGGTGTGAGCCGAACACGCTACCAACTATGCCACATGACCCCACTGTCGTATCTACTAGTAATACACACTGGATCGGAGAATAGGACAAAGTGGTAGCTTGTGAAGTAATGGCATTTATTAGGATAGATGAAGTACTACAGGATAAGAGAGTAAACTGTAGCTTAGTTCTAGTTATGTTTACTGAAGGAAAACATATTGTTTTTGCTCTGTTTCCTCTTCTTCCATTCCAAACACAAAAGGTCAATGACCAGAACCAGACATCTGTCACCATGGTAACTGGTGTTGGGTAACATCATGTTGCAATTTTATAGGGATTTAGACTCCTGACACTAGATATATGAATGTGTTTGAGTTAGAATTAACAGAGCAGACCATATGAGAAGGTAAATATTATGCATTTGCTTTGCAAATGTTACTTTTCTAGATTGTGTCTGTTTGTGGTGCTGAAACTTGTGATGTTGTTATGTGTTGGCCAACCACTTGCTATACATAATGTAATCCAACAAAAAATGGTGTCTTCTACACTTACCATGGTTCAACTAACTGGTCCAAGTCATTGAGCTTATTTTTTGGAATGAAAGATCAAGAAATACAGGGCTCGTGACTATGACTGGTTTGGTCGCACATACGCCTAGAATTTGGACTGGTGCGACCATATTTGAAATCATGGTAGCACGGTGCGCCAATCAAAAATTAAGACCAACAAGAGGTTCTTTGGTCTCTAAGCACTGGGCTTCCCTGTGGATTATAATCCCAGGGGCCAGGACCAATAAATATGCGCCAAACTAAAAAAAAACAACTGGAAATCCTACTGTGCTGGTTGAAATCATTTTCTTGTTTGTTTTAGCTCTGATTTTGTTGGGGAAATGCTTTGAGAAAATATGATGGTAGCTACTCATAGCTTAGATTTAAATTATATTAATGACTGTAATTCATTAGGTTTAATTGCTCCAAGTTCCAGTTAGAAAATGCATGTACAGTTTGTATCATGTATTTTTTCTTGTTGAATTTAGTGGGGAACCTTAACCAAATTGCGTGGATAGGACAATATTTTTCTGGTGGTGCGCCTAGATTTTTGCTGGTGTGCCCAATTGTTTTGGGTTGGGAGCACAGTGCTCCTAAGTCAAAAAGGTAGTCTGGAGCCCTAAAACAGAGCAAAAACATGGATATTTCTTGTGCTCTGTACATATAGAATACAACACGGGGTATTCCGTATCGCCCGAGGTATCGGCCCGACCGCGGGAGGGCCGGGACCGAGGGCGATGCGGAATACCCCGTGTTGTATTTTATTTATATCATACCCACCCAAGAAAACACGCCTTTCAATGCAAGATGAGCCAAAAGTTGGTGCTACTGAACTCTAAAATGCAACAACATCAATTCCAATGTCCGAATTCTGTATTCGAATTTTCGAAAGGGGCACACGCGGTCAGGGCGAAACGCGTTCGAATCGTTTTATGGAAGCGTTCGATAACGGGTTCCAGGCCGTACCGTAAAGTACGGCCCGGTCCGTAACCCGTTATCGAATGTTATCGCGGCCTGGGTATGATATAATGCCTCTTACATGTATCTGTGAGTGACTGTTTCTATCCTGCAGCCACTGTGGATATTTCACCGGTGGAAGGCACTTTTGAAGTGAACAGTCCACAGCTGTCGCCGGGTGGTGCAAAATCTACCTTCTCACTGACAGTAGAGGTAAGGATTTCTCAGCATCTGAAAACTCATTTCTTAATATATTAGAAATGCCTGGTGACGTTATGTGATAGCAATGATTACCTTTGACAAGAAAGTTAAGTTTTTGGTGTTATGTGGTTTTGAAGGTTTGTGCATAGCATAACTGAAGAAGCTGAAGACACATCTGTATGATATTTACCTCCATGAAAAATGGAGGTATTGTTTTTGGCGCGTCTGTGTGTGTCTTTCTGCACATTTGTAGTCAGCATAACTTCAGAACGCCTTTATGGATTGTGCTGATATTTGGTTTGCTGGTAGGTCTTAGAAAGCCAAAGGTCAAGGTCAAATATGGGCCTCCTGGTGGTTGACCATGGTACTGCAGCAGAACTTCTGGGAAAACAGATGTGCGGGGTGGCAGGGAAAACAGATGTGCGGGGTGGAGGCAGCGCCTGCCTGGGTTGATTAATGAGTTTCTCCCTCGGGAAAAGCCTACATGACCATATCCAGGCCAAAGGTGCTACTGTGTGTTTGAAACCAAAAACCTGTGTTATTTTGTTCTGTACTGTAGTGTACTGTGTAAAAACATTTAGAAAAACTAATACATTTCATGGAGGTATGAGATCTCCAAATTCTTGTTAGTATGTGTCTGAGTTGATGTCAGCAACATGAAAGTGACGCGCAATATTATGTTCTCCCTAGCAGCTTTCTATGGTACTGCAGCAAAACTTCTGTTTTTTGATACTTTGATATATTAAAATTTTTTCTGGCATTCATCTGTTGTAAAAGTGACAATTTCAGTTTTTTTTCTGTTATAATCTTTTTTCAGATAATCCTGACAGGAAATGCAAGGCTAACCACAGACCCCATTTTCAACATCAGCTTCTATCTATCCCATGATGCCTTGTGGAGTGCTGATGACCTTGACATAGAGTATGACCTTGATGACCTTCCCGCCGCCCTGTCAGGTGATGTCACAGCATCAGAACCTGAACTTGTACTTGACGGTACAGACCTGGTGAGTGACAAGATACACGTGTGTAGCTTGTAATATATTCTGCCTGCAATGATGCTGATTATTTTATAGAAGAACTTTATTGCACGACAATGGCACATGGTACAATGTATGGCAAACTACATTAAAGAAAGTAACAAACAATGAAATAAATGTGTTGGATAAGAGTCTGACCTAATGTCAAATACATGTAGAACCTTACATATTTTAGTTACTCAAACAATAAGGGCTAGCACAAGTCTTTGATTAAGTGTTACAATCGAGTGGGCTAATCACAAGTTTCGGTATTTTTTCTAATAACAAAGCAGTCCTTTATATATCTACCTATTTTTGCGTTGTGGGAACCATTACAGGTAAAGATTATATTCAAATCTGTCTCCAACATCGAGATTCTTGAAATCTGTTGTGCTTGATTCGAGAAAAGTAAATAACTTGTTAACGTTACATAAAACATATTTGGTATATTCCATAACAAAGTGAAATTTATTTTCTTTATGTATATATAACATGTAAGTTACAGATACACATTCAAATCAAATCATTATTCCAAAACTTAACACATTGAAGGAATATTGAATATCAACTGTATGACAAGTATTCTGTGGGCTTGTATAGTCTTAGAGACAATTATTTCTGTCACCATTCTCTCCTGTTTGTAGCATGTCTTATCCAGTGGTTAGTGACCCTGCCTTTTGACAAAGAGGTCACAATTTCAAGTTCAAATATCAACTTCTCCTCTGGCACAACCAGGGCTTTAGCCAGCGCCCATTTTACCGTCAATTGACAGTATTTTCTCGGCTCGGATTAGAAATTTAGTCCTTACCGTCAACGTTGACGCAAAAAATTGTGGGTTAAGACAAATAACCTGGCGAATTTGGATAAGTTAATCTTTTCCAAGTGCGTGGCATCTTTTCCAAGCACGTGGTGTCTTTTCCAAGCGCGCAGCAGCGGGAAACCTGACTTCAAGGAACGCGTGCCGACGTTGGTTCTATTCTTCATTGATGCTGTCTGTTAAAACAACATGTGCTAACAGCCACGTAAGAATGAGATAAAACAATGGCTTGGCTCAGACACACACTGGTAACTGTACAATGCACATGACGATAAGATAAATAAACAACATGTTTCAACGTTCCACAATCGCAAGTTGGTATGGTGATTTTTTTTTTCAATATTACCGTCAACGCGAATTAAGGTCGCGAATTGGGTTGATCTGGGGTTGATGGTAAAAACATTGGAGCTGGCTAAAGCCCTGGACACAACCAATGGAAGAGTAACTCAACTGTTCATGAGTTCACCTGAGCTAACGACCACTCTTTTCATTTTCCCAGGTTTTGCCTGGAGGCATGAGTACCCAGTACTGTGGTCTCTCATACCTGGTTGCCATTCTGGACTCACAAAACAAAGTGGAAGAGCGGAACGAAAACAACAATGCCATCTCCACTATGATCACAGTGTCCTGTCCTGATGGTGGGTTGAGAAAGATTCCATTAAAATTCCTGTCTTTTGTTTTGTTTATAACAGGTAAACTGCCTTTTTAGGCCAGTTTTGGACATGTACATGTAACATCTGTGTCCATAATATCACCAGGGTCGACAATATCGCTACCTTGAGAAAAAGTGTGCTTAAAGATATTTTTACTGCAACATACCCTAGGTATGTATATTTGATGTGTGAAGGAGTGCATTGCCAAAAGTATGTTGCAGTAAAAATATCTTTAAGCACACTGTTTCTCAAGGTGGCAATATTATGGACTATGGTGATATTATGGACTCAGATGTTACGTAAGACCGGACTGTAAGGTTTAAACTACTCACACCGGGAAGGTCCCTTACTCTTTTCGATAAGTGTGGTGGGTTCTTTTAATGAATGAAGACCTTTAGAAATAAAATGTACATTAATTTTTTTTGCCTCACTGGGCTAAGCACAGGTCACATGATTACAATCATATTGTTCATACATAATATTATACAAAATTACATCCTTTCAGTATATAGTATTAATTGTTACATAAACGTCCTAATAATTTAATGTGCATGCATATATGGGGTGTGGCTCTCCCAAACACAGGACCTCCATTTAACGTCCTATCTGAGGGACGTCCCTAACCAAAGCTAGGTACTCATTTCCACCTGAGTGAAGTGAGGAAAGTTGAGTGTGTAAAGTGCCTTTCACAAGGGCACAAGATCGGTGGCATTGGGTATTCCAACCTGGGACCTCTTGGGACGGAGCCGAACACTCTACCATTATGCCATACGACCCCGCCATTTGATTCAATAACTCTCACGATGTTAATAAGTTGACTTGCCTTGTAGTTCTAAGTTTATTCATTTGTTTCTCAAATGGTACTATGTGATTTGATTACTTTTTGTATTGTTTTGTCATTTTATTGGTATGGTGGCTTTGAAAAGGTGTTTCATGTCAGAAACACCTGTTTTGCCATGCCACCCACAGTGCATATTGTACGTGGTAAAACTTAATAAATAAACTAGAAAGGCCAATATTTGCTTTGGAGCAAATACAGCGATGGGTTCACCACATTTTACCACATGGCAGGGAAAGAATGAGAAACACAAGGGAAAACAATGATTACATTGATATAACTATAATATGAAGTAACATACAACTAAAACAACAGTTGGATAGCTATTCCCTACTTTATTGGTTAGGATTTTTAATTGCATAATGCAAACTGTTGATTTTCAAAATAAAATAAAAAACGTTCATGCCCCGCATTCCAATGCTGGAGCAGAAAAGCTTGAAATACCTACCAAAACACTTGAATAAAGACATACTGTCAGTATGGAAATGCTCTGTGCAGGTTTTAATCAAGTTAAATCCCAACAGCCAATCAGCAAGAAATGCTCTGTGCAGGTGGAAATGCTCTGTGCGGGTGTTAATCAAGTTAAATCCCAACAGCCAATCAGCAAGAAGAATAGAGGAAAGCTTCATGCCTATTGGTTGATGCCCTGCATTCCATTGTGATGACTCATGCCCAGACGTGGTAAGCAAGGCACACTAACACAGTAATACATTTGCTATAACACAGCCAAAAAACTCAAATAAAACCATTCTAAAAGCCTGTATCACAAAATTTAAAAAACGCCTAGGGGTATTTGCCCACTGTACCTCCATACCAAATTTCAGGACCTTAGGCCCTAAAATGAAGAAGCTGAATCCATTTAAAGATATGGCAGGAGGAGAAGGAGGAGAAGGAGGAGGAGAAGAAACATCAGAAAAAGCAATATGGGTTCACCACCACTTCGTGGTGTGGTGAACCCATAATAAATAAAATTTGTATCTTGTACATTTGCAAAATTTACAAGCTGTGAATTTCTGTTGAATGTTCTCTTGTCCATTTCTATTTCTTCCAGACATCTACTCAGTGGAGGATGCCATGCTGGACGTACAGGACATGTACTATGTAGGGGTTCCAGCACCCATCGTGTTCTCTATGGATGTCTACAACCTAGGGATACAGATTGGCACAGCAGAGGAAGGCACTCACAACTATGAGCTAAAGGTTAACAAATTGTTCTTATTACAAAATGTATTACTAAAACTAGAAACTTAAGGTAACATTTGCAAGCAAATACAATATGTTTACCTCTATGTTGGCCAAGTTCAGTGTCTGATGTACCAACCTACATGTACCAGCTTGCTGAATTTCATTTTCTTTTAGGCTCTAATTACAAAAATATTGATGGTTTTTAGGTGTTTGAAATGAAAGGAGAAGAAGAAACTGAACAAAAACAATGTTTCCTTCGGTAAACATAATGAGGGCTCTGTAACAATTGTCAGAGAGCAACAAAATTTCTTGTTTTTTTTCCGAAAGCAGGCTAAAATTAATCTGCTTGCTGTTGTCATCCATAAAAGTTACTTGCTGTGGCCTATAGAAGTAACAAAAACTAATACACAAAATGAATATTTTTGGTCATCCTTTCTGCAGGTGTTTGCCCAGCAGGGAGCCATGTTGAACATGGACGCGGC